TGCTTATTATAATTTTAAAAACACAAAAACATAAAGCTTAAGAGATCCTTCAATGACCAAATTTCCAATTGTGACTGTCTTTATAGACATTCAGAAATTCTTACCATGACTTTGAAAGACCTGTCAATACTCAAGTCCAATAGTACTATGACACAAATATCACAGTTGTGCAATTTTGCTCAATTGGGGATCGACTTAGTATTACCTGACCCCAAAATAAGTAATGATTGTAAAAGTGCAATGGAATGAGCTTCCACTGGAATAGCATGCAAGATGCATGTTTTATAATTTCCACATTCTTAACGTTTTTGCAAAAGCAAAATTCACAAAAGGAATTGGAATGCTTTCCTGTCCCACAGCAAAGCTCTATGCATTCTGTCAATACTACAATCGGCAAGCAAGAGCTAACCTTTGCTCCAAGAAGTGCTGCAGCTGTCCAGAATCAATGTGAACAGGCTCGGAAACTGTAAGGCAGGGCATGCGACTGTGTGAGCACTATCAAGAGCGGTGCTGTAGGCACGGTGTGAGAGAGGGCAGCGCTTAGCGGGAGCTTCGCCAGGGAAATGGGGGGAAGAACAGTTGTCTGTTAGAGAGCATCAGACAAAGGTCTGGAAGAGTTCAACATACTCATTTGCCAGCAAGATAATGGTATGGTTTTTAAGAGAGTAAAATGAATAGAAATCCCCATGGAATAAAAAGCATTGAAAAATGCAGGGATGGGGTGGGCAGGTCAGATATTGGTCTGTTGAAAGGATAAAATTGGGTTGCACATTTCTATTGTTTTTGTATACTTAACAAGAAGTCTTAGATCATCATAAAAGTCATCTTTGCTTAAAGGCAACTGGTACTAGAAACTTTTAACAAAGACCTCTTACAAAACATTAGTCAGTAAAGTTAAACAGGTATCAATGGAGACAACATGAAGTACAAGGTAATAAAAAAACATCACTGGTGCTGAAAATTAGATATAAATCATCTTCCCCCAATAACCAAGCACAGCTTCAACAGTGATTGAGATAATAGTGTTTTTTCAAAACTAATTTTTATTTTTCATATTAAAGTACACTTGAGAAAAAGAGCACATCTAAAATATTTCTGCACATAATAAGGATGTGTGTGTCTCAAGGAAAAAAAAAAAAAAAAAAGAAAACAGCAACCAAAATCTAAAACACCTGCAATCTTATCTTGGCCAATTGCACACTTTTACCAGAACTGCTTCCTAGAGGAAGCTCTGGACAGATATACTTACTTCCACTGTTATGGAACTCAGACTCTTCAGGAAAATACTTGTCAGAAACTAAACAGTTACTAAATCATGGATGAGTAGCCACATTGCAATACCATGGCTAATTTGTATAAACTTATATAGAATCATCACTTGAAAACAGTCCCTGTTCAACAGATTTTGTTCAAGGAAGGTTTACTTAGTGATGTTAATTTTTAATTCTTTTTATGATCCAAATGTAACACCTTGTAACAAAAGCATTTTATCTTAACATTCAACAAAGATACCAATAAACTGTCAGTCAGTGGATATGTAACATTACTTCAGCTACTTACTTCTCTATCAAGTAATGGAGAGGGTAGAAGGAAAAAAAAAAAAAAAGGAAAAGAAATTTTGTGGAGAAAAAGTAAAGTAGGATCATGTAAAATATATTTTTCAGTACAGTGTCTTCAGACATCTAATTTCTCCATAATTCTAACATCCAAAAGAATACCAGATATTTAAGATGCATAGTTAATTCTATGCACATTAATAGCATTTCAACAACAAAATTCTAACGTAACCTTCTATTTTCACTCATTTGGTAATTTACAGAGCCAGCTCTGCTTTGTTTTATCACGGAAGCATGACTATTACACATTTTTTGTTTTTCGTTAAATCAGAATATTGCATAAAAGGAGGGAGTCTTCTTAAAAAGTAATTGCTTTGGTGCTTGAAAACAAGATCAAGTATGACAGCAAAGACCCTTGCCCACATTACCAGGTCAGTCCAGTGATTAGAGAGCATGTTAAACAGAACTTAAAGCCAGGACTGTTTTACAAGGTTTAACTGCAAAATACGATATTGTTGGTGCACATAGGCAGGGAGGGGGGGACAAAATCAACAATGTGTATAGATACCAGGATATCAAGTCCAGACTTAGTCCAGACTCTCCTGTCAGATACATTCAAGACTACCAGAAAAAAACATCAAAAAATGCATTCTCATACAAGAGCACAGTAGAAGAAAAGAGGAAAAAGGTGATTAGTGCAAAGATCACAGAGCTCACCTTTACTACAGTATTACCTATCTATACTTGTCTCACTTCTCATGGTTCAAAAAAAAGATGGAAGAAAGAGTCCTCAAGAAAATACTGCTTTTCTGGTGAGTGCATCAATCTATCCTGAACTGTGATTACTCCCCCAAAATTAACAAAATTAATTCTCTTTCTTGACCTTCTGAAGCATGACGCAGATCCATCATGGAGCAGCCCAGGACATCTCTGTACATTTCTTTTCATGCTTACCAACTTACAGCTTTGAAAGCGTCATCTTAGATCTTGAGTGGTTCAGCAGTACTTAATGGTATAAAACAGAGGTGGAAAATTATGCCAAAGGACCTTCCTGGTTCATGCAAGAGATCTATACCTTAGCAGCAAGACAACGCTTGTGTTATCAACAAAAGGCCTTGAGAAAGTCAGTCAGTTTTCCGGACCTGAGAAGTAACAGTTTTCTTGAATCAGCTAAAATATTTTAAACCTTGAAGCCATCGAAAGAGTTCCGTTGGTCAGGAAAGACTTGAGAATACAAAGCAGTTTCAGTGTGTCACTGAACCAGAGACTTATTAAGCCAGTCTCTAATTAATGTAACTACCTCAGCAGAAAATGACCCATTCTTCTTATAGTACCAAATCAGCTATTTATCACAGTACCACTCAATAACTTGGGAATAAGGAGTACAAACATTTCCCTCCTACAGTCCTCCTCCTGACAAAACTCCTCTTCCCCTCCCCCTCCCTGCCCCCCAAAACACCCACACATTCTTCTCCTTTCCCTATGCTTTCTTAATGTGTTTCACTAAATATTTGTAAAAAAAAAAAAAAAAAAAACCAAAAAAAAAACCAAACACACCCAAAACCAAAATGACAGCCAAACAATATGAAAGTCTGTATTTGAGCAAGCTCTGAAGCCCTTTAGCTGCAAAATCAGCTAAATTTCCTATTCTGAATACTCATAAGTAAAAGATGAGCAGTTTGGTGTTAACACCAACACAAAATTTAAAAGCTTAGTCAGAAAAGGGTAAAGCAATATTAACTGCTTTTATCATATGGAAGTTCAAACTTGTTGCAACTAATGAGAATGAGTTAGGTGCTCAGGACCAGATCTTGTTCTCTTCACTTAGCTGAAATGCTACCAAAACACATTGTCCTGACAGTCATCAGGTCTCTCTAGCTCAGATATCTTGATTATATGCTGCTAAAGAGTAATAAAATATTAGACACCAACTAGTTCAGAGCATTCCACAAGTGAAGACAGGCTCAGGATATGGCAGTTTTTGAATTCAGATAATTTGTCATTTTCAGAGAGCTACAAGTTCTGAACATTTCTACCTTGTATTTAATACTCGAACAGAATAACAATTTGTTACTGGAAATAGCAATACTCATACAACATGAAGACTTACTATAAGAAGGCTTATGAATAAGATCACAGAAGATGCTAGCCTACTTATCCATACGTCATTAACCTATATGGTAATTTAAATGAAGAGTTATAAGACAGTATAAGTATTTCACAAGGGAAGAAAACATAATTAGCCTTAAGAAATCTGACTGTGGAAGCAAGCAAACAGTAAGAACAATCTGCTATGGGAATGTGTCACAGCACACTGGAATTTTCTGAGGGTATTGTCAGCTCTTGCCACCTTCTTCTGCTATAATCCTTGAAGGTAACAGCAGACAGATCATGCCTTTTATTTAGGAGAAATCTGACAGACAAATTAAGCAAGAGCTAACTGCTACCTTGATAATAAAAATATTACTTAGCTTATGAATTTCGTAATACTAATAATTAGATGCATTTCTTTATCATATTAAAAATATCTGACTGCGTTTCCTCTGGCCCATTTGCACCATATCCTAATTGTACTGAAAAAGAAAACTGAATGCAAACACGAAACAGGTAAGAAAAAAGTAAAAATAGCTATTGTCAATTAAAATTAAAAAAAAAAAAATGTTTAATTAGCTTGATTCCATACTTACTAAGCCAGTGGCAAAACTCAGGTGATTCTCTAAGCTTCCTCCCCTCATCCCCGATTCCTTTCTTATCCAAAACCTATTTCTCTACAAACCATAATAAAAGTCTGTAAACTGCCATATTTAGAATGGCAATGCTGTGCTGCCTTGAAGTGTATGAATTTGGCTGACTACATTGTCTTTCAGACACTGTTTCCTTCATAAAAATGACTGACCATTCTAAAGCACACGGTTTACCACCAAATTAGTTCTGGACAATCTCTTTCCGTTCCCTTTCTCTTCTCATTCACATGCATATTTACCGCCTAGCAACATCAAACAAAAGTAAAAATATGACTTCTAAGAATCTTTTCAAGTCATTTGTAAAATTCTACAAAGCTTCAAACAGACAGTTCTTTCTTTTGATACATAGAACAAGACCTATTGATGTAAGTAATTTAGCCACACAGAAATAAAAGTTAGTGAAATATCTTGAATGCAAATAGACGCTAATTTTTGTTTCAAGTCTAAAAATAGAGAGGGGACAAAGTAGAAATACCTACAAATAACATTACTCTAAGCACAAACAAGAAGCATTCAACTTTAATGAGCAAAATAATTTAGCATTTCAAAATCTACAGGCATTAAGGGGACAACAGAAGAAATTTAGCTGAATTCAGTGTAAGGTTTTCATTGATTTTTAACCCAAAAAACACCAACTAGTTGAGCTACAGATGATGATGAAAGTTCAAACTGAAATATTTTATATTTTTAGTACCCTTTAAATACGCTCTAATAGGACTTAATTTTTCATCTGCCAAAGCGTCTGTTCTCTGCAAAGATTCACCATTTCAACTCAGGTGAGTTCCAAGGCAGCAGCATTAGAACTAAGCAATACACATGGATCTATCGCGATTAAAAAAATATTCTTCACCTCAGAGTTCCTCTAAGGAGGTTGCTACCACGGCTCATAAACTTCCAGAAGCGCTTTTTAGGCAGAAGGCGGCAAAAAAAGAAGAAGGAGAGGAGCTGCGGTGGCCCCGGGGAGGTGCGCGGCCGGCGGGGCTGCCCTCAGGGGCGGCCCCGGCCCCGCCCCGGGGCGAGCCGCTCGCTTCGGAGGGGCACCGGAGCGGCGGCGGCACCCCTCCCCTCCGGGAAAACGCGGCCGCGGTGAGGTGAGGGGAGGTGGGTGAGTCGCGGCGTTGCGACCCTCCTCCCTTTCCGCCGCCCCCGAGCCGCCCAGCCCCCGGACAAACCGGGCACCGCTAACCTGCATCGCCACCTCCCCTCCGCCTTCGAAGGAGCCGGCCCCGCCGCCGCCGCCGCCCCGGTGACCCGGCCCGGCCCGCCTGAGGGGAAGGGGCGCCGCGGGGCCTCGCGCTCCCAACGGAATTTCCCGCCAACCGCCCGCCCTCTCCCTCAGCCCTTCCCCGCGGCTCTGCGGGCATTTCTTCAGCTGGGAGTGGGCTCGCTTCTTCTTCTTCTTCGCAGGCAGCTGGGTAAGACGGCTTCTAGACAAAAACGTGTCTTCATAACCTCTCCCACCCCAGGATCCGCTGGTGCCCAGGTCAGCCGGATCTGCCTAGTTAAAAACTGCTTTTACACCTCTTTCTCAAATTCTTTTCTCCCTAAACCTTTAGAAATTAATTTCCCGGTTCTTTTGCTACTGCAATAGGAATAAATTTACTAATACATACTGTAAGGTTCTCTCTTGCTATAGTCTCTGTTAAGTGTTTGTTCGTTTTTATTCACAGCTTGGTTCATTAAAAGCGTCACCCATATCTGTCCCCCATGCGGTACTGAACTTGCGTGGGGTTTTTTTCAGTCATGGCTTTCTTAAGGGACTGAAAATACCTCAGAATTGACTGTGGGAAATGTACTGCCTTCGATTTAAAAATGAAGGTGAGCTTTTCTTTTGTTCTTAGTCTTCGCTTTTTCTTTGCCAGTCACAAAATTACCCAGTTACGCTTTTGTGCTTTAATTCTTAACAAAAATCCTGAAAAAGTAATGAAGTATAAACATATCCTACATTATTTCCCTAAGAGAGAGTCTTTTTGTTGTCATGTTGTTGTTGGTTTTGGTGTTACTGTATCCTTTATTAAAAGGCCCTGTGATAATAGCCAGGACAGAACAAGCTCCACCTGCCTGCCTGAGTCACCAGAAATGTGGAGATTTACCGTCCAGCATGTTCTGCCGTCTGCCAAGACAGCGAGGTTAAAAAATGCCAGCCAAGTCATCTTAGAAAGTGTAGCAATTCTAGCAAGGGGTGTGTTGCTCCTATGTTTTTGCACCGCCCAGTGTTTTCCAGGGGCATTACTGCATGGACTTCTTTTTTCCACAGCTGATAAAGAACTTGGTTTTGTTAGAAATCCATGAACAATGGACTGCAGACATCATATTGTAAAGTGTTTGGGGGTTGTTTTGGTTTTTTTTTGCTTTTTTCTGCCTTTACCAATACCTACTGACCTACTGACCTTGAACAAACCCATACTGGTTGAAGTCCTGATTCTGCTTGCTGCACTTAATGGGTATAGAGAGCTATGCTCCCAGCTGGCTCTCCATAAAACATACTCTGCAGACAGGAAAATTCTGCAATTCCACTCTTACAGCGTTTTTGAAGGATTAACAGACCGGTTTCCTGTTTTGCATAGGAACCTGCGTACATACGCTTTCTCTCCAAAAGACTTCAGTTTATTTGTTACAAATTTCTATTTTGAGTAGCCTGAAGATCCTTAATGAATTGTTGAAACAGTACTGTAGAAACAGTTTCAATCGAATGGGTGTTTGAAGAAAAAGTATGCTGTAACTTTGAAAACTGTATTTGTGATTTCAGATTAAATGATATATCTGGAAAAAGGAATGAGTGAGTCTTGTAGAATAATTTATGCTTAATATAGTACAGAAAGGTTAACCTGTAACTAAAATTCAGCAAATGCTCTTTATATTTAAATGTTACTCGTGCTTAATCAGCAGTCTAGAGAAATACATGGCAACGACTGTAATTGAATATATTAGTATTTAGTACTTCCAAGTTTTTACTGTAATACAGCTTTGTGTCCTACATCGACTAGTGTCCTGCTTTTGTTTGGGATAGAGTTAATTGGGGTTTTTTTTCCTTCCTTCCTAGTAGCTAGAATAGTGCTGTGTTTTTGATTCAGTATGGGATTTGATATGAGAAGAATGTTGATAATATACTGACATTTTTAGTTGTTGCTAAGAAATCAGGGACTTCTCAATTTCACATATCTGCCAGTGCACAGATACACAAGAAGTTGGGGGAGGAACATAGCCAAAATAGTAGGCCCAAATTGGCCAATGGAATACTCCATATCATCTAACATCATGCTCAGTGTATAGGTAAGGGTTGATTGGAAAGCTCCACTCAGGTTTTTCAGGATGGTGGTTTAAGGATTCTCTCTTCTCTGGGATCATTAGCTGAGAACAGGCTGGGCATCCGTCAGCGGGTGGTGAGCACTGTGCGTTACCCGTTGGTATTTTTTATTATTATTTTATTTCAATTATTAAATAGTTTTTATCTCAATTTACGAGTCTCCATACCCCTCCAACTCTCCCCTCTATCCCCTGGGTGTGGGGGCAGGTGAGCGAGCAGCTGCACGGTGTTTGGCTGCCGGCCGGGTTAAAACCCAACAACTGGTACGGAAGGATTGCAAAGAGCGTGTAGAGACTGGTAAGGCATTACCTTTGGGCAGGACGTGGTTTATGATCTTTGTGCTGCTTATGGACAGTGCCGAGTACAGGAAAGGATCTGAGGGGAGCAACTTGTATTTGTATTTGCAAGAATTTGCACTGTATGAGGAGAGAATAATACCTATGATTACTCACATTTATTTTGGAGGCTATGCTAATCTGAATGACTAGATGGGAGTGTTTAAAACAGCTTTTGCATCTGCCAAAGCAAATCTAACTCAATATGTTTTATAGCGTGCTGATTTTGATATTAAGTTCATTTTATTGTAATTATATACAATAAAAATTTTGTATCGTTCTAATTATATGTTATTTACATTGCACAATAGGGATACTCGAGAGAATTCAGCAGAGTAGAGGGAATAAGCTGTTCTAGGCACATACTTTTCAGGCATTAGAGTTATTTAATTGTCAACTGGGTCCTTAACGTTTCAGAATCTTCTATCTTCTATTTACAATTTTCTAGATTAAGATCTGATGTGGTCTGGTTTAATATAGCTTGTACTAAGCAACTATATTTAATTGTTGGTTGGTGATTTTTCCATTATGTAATTTTTAACTTTTATGTTTTGTAGTAAAACACAGAGTCTTTCTGTAAATCTGAAAAACAAGCTATGGAATCAGTTTCTTTAAGGGATGTACTTCTCTGGTGGGTTATCAAACTGGAATGTATTTAGTACTGAAAAGTTACTAGTCTCAGTTAAAGATATACCTTTTGACATCAGAGGTTCTGGCCCGCATCCTTGTGTCCATTTGTTGTGTTGAATTACTTGCAAGAGTTTGAAAATATTTGGGATTTGGTTTTGGTGCAGATTTCATTTTTTGTTTTAAAAGTCCAGTATTCTGGTTCTGCAGGTTTATGCTTTTACCTGGCACTATATTTCACTATAGGTGCTTAACATGGATGTCAAACTGATGTACACAGAGATGTCTTGCTAGTTATAGGGTAATGCTTGCTAGCTTGCAAGTTCTAGGCTGGACATCTTACAAACTGCCACGTAGCAACATTATGGTGTTTTAAGAAGAGTCTTGTCAAACTAACGGTACATTTCATTCTCCTTTTTTTTTTAATTACATAGTTGTTCAACAGAAACACTGTATGCTCATATGCAGCTGTACTATATATGTTTTTACAGTTTATAATTAGCTTTTTTCATCCATACCCTGTTGTAATACTTTCTGTGTAAATAGGGTGATAATAGATTAGTTTTTATATTTTCAGAAATTATCTGTTGTTTCAGAAAATAAGGGGCACCGTGAACAGTTGTCCAATTAAATATTCAACATTTCAAAGTAAAAAAAAAACAGGCTGTCTACTATGGGAATAAAGTCTGACATTAATTCTAATATTACTGTCTTTAAACTGGCTTTAGATATATACCACCAGCTTTTACGATATTGGCCATAACTTGGGGCTATTTTTTTTTTTTTTAACTGTCCTGCAGATATGATCCCAGCTGTAATTTTTAGTGGGAGAAAGACTATGAATTAAATACATAGATAAAAATAAATACAATAATTAGTCTATTAATGTTATTCACAAAAATAGTGGACGTATGTGATTAGCCCAAATCCTTACATGCTTTTCTTCTGGATTTCATAATGGCACAATTTCAAATCAATGCTAATTTATGTAATAAAACCTTTGTTCTGTAACTTAATGGCATACAACCACGTTTGTATCCATGACATTAGTTATCACAATCAGCTCTTAACTTGGAAATGGTGTATTTTGGACTTTAAAAGAAGAGCACTGCTCTTGGTGAGAAGGATTTCAAATACAGCTGAAAACAGAGCAGTGTACTACTTGGGCTCATAAGAAAAAGCAAAGTTTGTATCTAATCTAAACTTCTGGTGAAAATCTTAGTAATGGCAGTATGCTGAAAACTTTAAAAAGTTGTTTCGAGGTCTATGAACATGGTTAATGGAGATCCTGTGGGTGTTTTAAATGTGATCCTTGTCCAAATAACAACTCCCTCCCCACAGCAGATTGTGAGGTCCCGTTTCCATTTGAAGTATTTAAGGAGGACAGGACGTTGCAGCATCCTGCCATATACAGGTCAATTTGGCAGGCTAGCGCACTTCCCTTGCTCCAGCTGACCCTGTGGCAGTGCTGTAAAAGGCCCTTTGGCCCTGGGCCAGAGAGCTCTCCTAACATAAAAGCAAACTGCTGGGTTTTTTTAGCCGAAGAGGAAACTCCTGGTAGTTTTAAATTAGTCTTGAACAGTACAGCTGCTCTCCCCTGCAGATCTACATTAGATTTGTTCAATCAGCTTGGTTTAATGCCTAAAACCGAGGTCCTGAACTGCGGTTTAGATTTATTCTTGCTTCACTTTGAACTTAGCCGAGGGGGGAAAAAAAGCGGTGTTTTTGTCAGACGAGGCTGCGTAGGGTGACCGCGTCACCCCTGTGCACCAGCGGGCTCTGCACCCCCTCTCACCTCTGACTTTGCGCTTACCTGTGCTTCTTGGAGGAAAAAAAAACAAACAAACAACCTAAAAAAAAACCACAAAAAACTAAAAAACCCCGAAGTAGTCAGTGGGCTCTCAGAGCTTGGCGGCCGCAACCGCCCCGCGGGCGGGGCCGGGCCTCGGTCTGCGGCGCTTCCCGAGATGCTCCGCGCGGAGCCCGCCGCGGTCCGCCCGCCCAGGCGGCGGCGCCGCCGCCACTCTCCGTGCGGGAGCCGCGAGCGTCCGGGGCGGGGGCGGAAGGGCCGTGGCCCGCGTCACGTGAGGAGTTCGCTCACTTCCTCGGCGGGGGCGGGGCCGGGGCCGGTGCCCCGGGAGTTTCCCGTGGAGGCCGGGGCCGGGAGCGCGGCGGCCGGCGCTGCCGCCTCTCGGCCGAGGTGACCGCCCGCCTGCCTAAGCCCGAGCGCGGCCCGGAGAGGTTGGTCCTGGCGCGGGTGGCACGGCGCCCGTGGGCGGCCCCGCGGCCCGGTGGGAGAAGAGCGGTTCCCCCCGGGGGCAAGGGCGGCTCTGGCCGGTTTTTAGTTTATTTTCTTAAAGTGGAGCCCCTGCCGTCGAAGGAGCAGGCTGGCGGCGTCTCGCGTGGTGTCCCCGCCCGCGCTCGCCTCACGGGCGAGGCGGGACTGGGCGAGGAGGGGCATCCCCGTGGGGGGACGGGGAGCGAAGCGTAAAGGTTCGGCCAACAAGTTGGGAGCGGGTCTCAGGTAGGCAATAGGAGTAGTTAGAAAGCTGCGCCCTAATTACGCTGGGAGACTGGGTGAGTTTTTAGAGCAGCAACTTGTGCGTTGGCAGAGGGGAATCTGGCAAAGGAAATCAGCAAAGTGGGATTATTAGCACAAGATGTGAAAGCAGGAACGTGATGAAATACTGGAGCGGACCGGAGTACAGGTGTTGCAGGCCCTGTTGGTTTGGAAGAAGGGAGTGCGGGTGAGTTGAGAGAGGCCAGCTACAGACAAGTGTTGAGGTAGTCTTCCGGGCTAATGATGCTTCCAGCTTTTAAGAAATTACAACTTTAAATCCCGGTGTTTCACCTGGTAGGGAGATGCCCCTGATCTCCTCAGATAACTCTGCCCCCCAGCAACTTACAAGTGAGAATGGGTTGTGCTGTAAACTGTTCCAGTGAGTGGTTTTAGGAGCTGTTGCATTTCTTGAGGAATCCCTTTATTTCCCTGCTGTCTTATGCTGTGTGTGTGCGGTAAAATCAGCATACTGAAAGCCAGGTCTGGAAAAAGCGGAGTGAGGGGAGGGTTAGTCTTGTAAGGGTCAATCTGTTCTGGGCTCCAAAGGTTGGGTGGTCATCTGAGATGGAGCTTTCTGAGAAGTGTTATTATGTACTATGGGAAGCATTTAATTTCCTGGCTATTGGTGTGTGATCAGATGCTACTGCTGCTGATAATACCAGTTATCTGTTAGCATGTGTATCCTGGAATTTTTACTGTAGAAACCAAAAGAAGTCTAAGATTACTACTACGTTTTGTTCTTTGAATAATTGCTATTTTATAGAAGAGCTTGTGATAGAAGTGTTTGTCAAGTGATTGCACCGTAACTTAAGTAAGAGACTGTTGCCCCAGATTCAAAGCACAATTTTTGAGCTAACAACTCTGAGTGAGGTCAGAAGGCAGAAAACACTGGTTGAGTGAACTCTAAATCGGGTGGTGGGTTCTGCTAAGGGGGGCTTTTAGAGACTCCTTATGTCATTTATTTACAGTCAACTGCAATCAGTCGTATGGTTTTGCTGTACTTTTATGCTATAATTGCATTAATTAACTTATTTACATGATTATATAATCTTTTTATGTGGTGTTCTTTGTGTATAAAATCGTAAATACTACAAAAATTTGTCATTATGTTTGGGGAGAAAAAATTGAAGTTTGAGAAGGAAAGTGAAGCATAAGTAACTTGAACATTCAAGGTTATTCACTTAGAAGCTGCTAACAGGAACTTGCATTCAAATGACCAGGTTTGTCTGAAATAAGGAGATGTAAACCTGAATATGGAATCACAGAATAGCCCAGGTTGGACAGGACCTGGAGAGATCATCTGGTCCAGCCTTTTGTGGGAAATGGAGCCTAAATGAGATTATCTAGCACCCTGTCCTGCTGTGTCTTGAAAACCTCCAGATGTGATGTTAGTGAATTGCAGGATGACCAACAGCCCTTAAGTGTGACAAGGTTTAACTTGCCTTTTAATAGCTGTAAGAGGTGAGGTGTATTTCCACTTGAATTAAAAGCTAATGCAATTATACAAGGCTTTTGTAATACCTTATCACCAAATTTGTGAACTTATTAAACACTAATTAATCTGACAGTTGAATTGAGTGGGAGGAAATTTATGACTGGGAGGTAGGACTTACTGTTTGTTTTACAAAAGAAGATTTAAAAAACAAACAAACAAACAAACCCTCTTAGCTTTCATAAATAGTTGTCCTTTATAAACGTTTCGAAATGGGAAGACATGAACACCAAGAAAGTGTCTGTTAAAATATTATTCATTGTTAGCATGAGAACATATGGGTTTTTCAGTAACCTTTGAATATACTTCTATTTGATGCTAGAAAGGTTTAACAGCCAGAAACCATCTCGCTCCTACTCATGTTTCTTTGGCAGTATTGTTTCTAATGAGCTTCCGGAATAAATTTAATAGTTTGATAAACAGGATTATATGATAGTGAGAGGACAATATTTAGCTTATTCCAGCTTTCTACCCCCGCCCCCTTCCCCCTTCTCTGATAGTTGTCAGGGAAAGTGGTGGTTGTGACAGCATCCACAGAAAAGCAAATCAAATACATTATGTTGGGGATGCATAGGGTTTGCAAATTAGCGATGAAGATACTGGAGTACAAAACTGTTCAGAGAAAGTAAAAATTACCAAGCACGTTGTCATGAGCGTTTTAGTACTGTTCTAGTTCTTGTGAGAGCAGATTATTTATTGTAAATGGCTTGAGATAGAAAAAATTGCCTGTTGTACCCAAGGAGATTTTGCTTGGCTCCTCTAGCTTACTCGGATGTTCACAGCAAATGAACTACAGCGATCTGGTTTGTGAGCTTGGAGATGGTAACTTTCCACTTCCTGGAGGCAGCAAAAATGAAAGCGATTTGGAGGTCTGATTTAGCTGATGTGCTGACGTGTTTCTGAAAGAGCCACAAGTATGCTGAGGCTGCAGGGCTGTGCCCTTGTACACATGGACTCTCGGGGAGTGCTTTGGGGCTGTGGACTTTGTCCGTAGGAAAGGACGAGCAGTGGCCAACGCTAGCAGCTACTGAGATGTGTGCGTGCAGATGATTTGCTCTAAAAATGGAGCAACCACCTGTAAAAAGCAATGTCTCTCTCTGTAGAACAGACTGTTCATGACTGGAATCAAAGACTGCCTAAGATTTTTGAGGGAGAGATGCAAACTGATAGATGCTTAGAGAGTCTGCAAGTCTTGCTTGTTTTAGCATCATGTGTCATATACTCCGTATACGCTGTGGAGTTTTTGATGCTGACTGTAGAAATTCTGTGGGTTTTGTTGCTGTGCTGCAGTGTCTTTTTAAAAAGAAAAAAAAAAGTTCTGAAATTAAGGTGAGGGCTGCAACACTCATTCAGAATTCCTGTGGATCAAATGAATTTATTGAATTTAAGGGTTTTTTTTAATATCTGCATGCATATATACAGCCGTGTATGAAAGGCAGGGTAAACCAGTACAAAAATTACCCTCATTATTAACAGCTAGAGACCGTTCCTATTACTATTATGAAGTCAAACCCCTCAAGTCTGGAAGGTAAACAAAATAAAATGGTTCAGACTCTCAGTAACCTTGAAAAAAAAATCAGGAAAAATACCATCTTGAAATTATTTGCATTTGACGTTTGGAAATATTTTGAAAACCATTCTATTCTCTTTCAAATGAAAAGATGAGACAAATGGGAATCTGTTGCATACTGGGAAAACTGTAATGTAATTCTGCTTTTACTGTCTTTCCTCTTGATCCAAGAATAAGATTAGTATTTCAAACTACAGAAATCTGTTTGTGCAGCGATCTGTTTGCTATTAGAGCCTCGGCATCCTGTGTTCCTTGTATGTAAAATGTGTTTTATATTTAACTACCTCCCATGGTGTTAATGACTAATATTTGTAAAATTCCGTAAAGAGCTGTATTTCTGCTAAGTATTAGTAAGAAATGGGAAAACGTTCTTATTCTCAAGATATTTAATATATTAAATCCTAAAGCTGTTCTATAGCCTGCATTAAGCATCCACGAACAACAGAAGTGGGTTTTGGAAACCATTCTTTTCTGTGGCATGTAAAAGAAAACTTAAGTGGTGCCATCTCTTCCAACTTGTATGCTTGTAAACGGAGTTAATTACTCTTGCTAGAACTTAATACTGCATCCTGTCAACAGTGTATTTGGATTGGGTTGGGTTTTTTTAGAACATTAATTATTTAATACAAACACTGGTACTGGTATTCAGTTGATGTATTTATTTTTGGAAGTAAAGATTAAAGTCCTTTTAAATAGGCTGTTTCACGTGTGGATCATTCTTAAAAAAAAAATAAAAAAAAAGTATAACTGTAACATGTTCCTTTGTCACGGGCAAAAGTATTGGGGAGACCTTTCTTGGATTGGGAGGTGTGGTAAGTGGGTTTGTAGAGCTTGCTTTAAGAAGGCCGAGGTAGACGTCTGTTGTAGTCATACACATTAACTTGTCTGTATATTACTTGAAATATTTTCGTGGGAAATCTTCCACTGGTTACTCTAGTACAGATTAGCTTGTGAATTGCAACTCCAGAGGGAGATCAGAATTCACTCAGGTGCTTCAGAGCGCCGGCTCTGGGGCATTCGGTGCATCCAAGCGTAGCTTCGAATTGGAGAAGCCGAGGGAGCGGAATGGCGCGGGGGCAGGGGTCTGTGCTGGGACGGGGGGAGCCGACCGCCAGCTTTGAGGCGGCGTAACTTGTGCAATAATCTAGGGCGTGTATTGTGTCCGAAAACACATCCTTGATTTCTGCTTACAGTTCGTATTTTTTAAACGATGTAATATAATACTGGAGAAGTTAGTTTTTGATGTCTGTCCTGAAAGAGTAAAATAAAAGGCTGCAGCTGTAGTCAGGTGTTTCTTACCGATACAGCCCCAGTTTGTGAGGATTTGTCTTCTGAGGGTTTCTGTCTATCGCTTTAGTAACATGAAAGAGCTGCTTATGGAGAAAGAAGTATTTGTGAGCATGCCTTTTTTTCCTTTCTCCTGACTGCAGAACAAAGAGCTGGGTGAACTGCGCATTTCACCATGACCTTTATAGGACTGCTGATCTTACACTGTTTAACAGCCAGGTTTTATTCTTGTAGGAGTTTATATCTCTTATTGGCCTTTTCATACAGGCTTAGCAGGTGCTGGAGAAGTAACTTCGCATTTATTTTTTTCTTTGGAAATATTTCAGAAAGTGTTTTTTTCAGCATAAACTGTTCAGGGTTTTTTTTTTGTTTTCTTTTTTGGTTGTGTTGATTTATTTGGATATATTTAGCAATGCTGCTCTTATTTTTCTAATGTGACTTTTTTCTTCATGCTTATCCAATTTACACAGCAGTTAGTGTGTGTATTATAACTTGGTTTTGAGTCATCATGCACCTATAAAGTACAGAAGTCATAGCACTTTTTTTACTAGGAACTATCTGTCATATAATTCTGTAGACTGAGATTTGAAACTTTTTGAAATATGCAATAAAAGGAGTATTTAGTAAGCACAGGCAACAGACTGATTTTTACTAATAGAGGTAACAGTTAAAATTATTTTGTATTAACTCATACCTGAGATTTGATAAATGCATTTTTTTAATTTTTTTTTTCTCTTCTATAAATTTGTTACAATTTTTGCAGGTGTTTGTTTTTTTTTTAATTTAACTGTTGTTTTGTAGAATAACTATTATGGGAGGAAATGGGGACTTATTTAGAATAAAATTCGTAAAGACTTTTCCTTTCAGATTTACTGACAGTAGCATCGTGAAATCCCTCTGAAATCATAGTGGCTTGCTTATTTTGCGAAGAAGAGGTGCTTTTACTTTCAAGAGTAGTGCTCCTTTCCAAAAGCAGAAATGTCCTTTATGAGGTAGGGAGAAATCTCAAAATACCAACAGCTTTTTGTTTTTTGACTGTCTACATTATGGCTTTTTGAAGTGATCTTACGCTAAACTTAAGAGTAATGTAAATATCTTACTATATTTCCTCCATATGATGCTCTAAAATTCTCAGTAAATTGGTATTCAGTTTCATTTAAATTTCAGTTTATGCAAATCTGTCCATTTATTGAAAGTGAAGTCTGAAGGCTCTATTTTTTTTTTTTTCCATGTTGTTGGGCGTGATTTGAATTGTGTTTCTTGCAAAGCTGTAACATGCATTTTTTTATGATTGTGGCAGTGTAATATGGTGTGTGGATATTATTAATACTTTGATAATAGAGATAATGAAAGATAAAAATAAAGTATATACCATAGGAATATTGGGGTGATTTTCCCTTCTTGGCAGGCTGTTGAACTTCCAGTACAGAGAAGCTTGTTTTGTGGTAATTTTATTTATTTTTAATAATTGAAGCAAAAACTTTAAATATTGCACAATTCCTTCTGAATTACTTCATTTAAGCCTACGTAAGGTGTGTTGCCACTTCCCCTCCGAAGTGTTACATCATCAGATCTGATTTTAAAGGGATGAGCTAAGAGGAAAGTGTCCTATTTGGGCACCTTTCTCTCAGTAGACTTCTGTTTTGTAGGAACTTTGTTGTCACTTAGTATCCAATAAGATTAGTCAAAAATGTGTATATGGGATCTTTCCGAAACAGTTGTCTTGTGTGTAGAAATTTAGAAAAATGTGTATTGCAAGCCCCTTGAATTATGTGGAATTACATACGTATCTTCTAAATAGCATCCAGTCCTGGCTTAGAGAGCAGCATCAGAAAACCAGAGTGGCATAATCCTGTAAGCGAAATGAGGTCTTCGAAGTAAAAAAATGGTAATGTAACTAGTCCTCTTAGCAGGTGCAGGTTAAGTGTGTACCTGAATTTATAAAATAGTATTTGTGTATGCTGAGTCTTTTTTGGAGGGTTTTGCTCTTCTGGAAGCTCACAAAGGCAATAGGTTTTAGTTAGCAAAATACAGAGTAAATACGGTCTAGTCTACTAATGTTGTCTCCTGTTTTCCCTTAATGCCACCTCCTGGTGGAACTAATGTGTGTAAGAAATAGGAAAAGTATGATGCTCAAGTTTAGGAGCTGTAGGAAAGTGTGGGGGTAAAGATGTATTTTATGTACAAGGTCACACCATCTGCTGCTTTCCTCAAGAGATAATGATAAGCTGTGCCACTTCTTTAATGACACTTGAGTCTAGTGTTCAGAGGAAAGGAGATGCGTTGCCGTGAGAGGGCAAGCTCTTGGAATTTGATGAGATGGGTGACAAGACTTACAGGGCCCTTGGTAAAACGGGGGAGGAAGAGCTATTATGTTATGCTCATCTTTGAAGACAAAATGAGCAATTCCCTCAGTTAGTGGAGTTTGAAAGATGTAGTGCTTTCGGTCAAGGTCACCTTGTGCATAGAGTGGTATTATTCTTACAATGAAAAGCGAGCAAATCTTTTTTTGCAAGGCTCTTTCTCCTTAAGTATGAGGCAGAGCAACAGGCAAGGGAAGCTTAGGCTACCTATTTTGTTAGAACACATCATACAGCATAAAGGCATCTGTTTGCCTCCTGGAGATAACCCTTAAAAGGACTTCAGTTTCCGTTTGTAGCGTTCTTGTCTTTTTTTTCACTGTTGCAACTCCACTGCTGTCTAGTTAGTATAAATGTGCTGTCACAGCTTTTTATCATGTTGTCTGACTGGCTTGGAGCAAATTGAGACAAATGTGATAACAGCACCATTGTTCAACTATAGCTGTGCTACAGCTCTTCATAATGCTGCAGCCCATGTAGCTTTTCCATTGCTAGCACAGTGAGAGAAATTTGACCACGTAGATAAGCTCCAGGGCAGTTGATCCCTTTACTTCCTAGTATCACTAAACACATGGAAGTCTAGTTTGAATTTAAATAACAAATACACAGTAGAGACAGCAATTGTGGCTGTGGGTTTTTCCCTTACTGATGCCTGCCTTTCCTGCAGAGTTCTGCCAGTCAGGTCAGTTTTCTGTTGAAATAACTTTTTCCTACGATACAAACTGTCTTAATCACGCTCGTTTCTTTCATTGCAGCATTTCTGTTGGTTCATTAGCTAATCATCAGGAACCTAAAGATTTGTTCGAGGGGAAAAAAGTAAAAATAAAAATCTGCTTTTGGTGGAAGTAGCATCGATACTTTGTTTAAGGGGAGGGACAGATGTTATGAGGTGCGGTATAACATTTGTCAGTACTGCACAGAAATGCAAGGAATTTTGATCTTCATAACTAAGTAAGAATGAGCTCTGTCATCGGTTGGTTGGGTTTGGTTTGGGGTATTTTTGGGGAGGTGGGGTGTGTGGTGTTTAATTTTAAATCAAATCCCTGAACTTATAACTAGTACATATCCTTATAGCTAGTATATATCCTTATAGCTAGTATATATCCTTATAGCTAGTATATATCCTTATAGCTAGTATATATCCTTATAACTAGTAACATTAAGGAAAATGCTGTTAGGGCTTTTCCCTTAAAACCTGGAGTTCAAGAAAGTATATGGAGTTTTTCAAAGGTCCTATTTTCTTCTTGAATAGTTGCTGTGCCTGAATGATGCATGTTGTAGCAAAAACTCAATGTAATGGTTACTTTGCATTGGTCATTCAGGTGGATTTGCCTAGTATTTTAGGGTGATACTTTTATTATGGTCAGATAGTTGTCAGTTTTTTTCCATGCATGTTGAGGCAGATCGTGTTATTATGTTCTCATTCTCACCATATTTGCAGTCAAGAATTACTGTAACTGTTGTTCAGCAGGATGTTTTCTACTGTGACCACGTAAGGAATAGCTACTCACGCAGCCTCTTTAAGGACTAAAGCAAGTGTACCTTACGATTCCATTTTAAAGTTTGGGAACAGTACAAATATTTGCATTCATGAATGAAGGAAATTTGGCACGTGCACTCAGGAACCGCAGTAGTTGGTTGATTTCTTGCAACTGTAATCTCTTACTGCTCAGTGCTGGCTTGCACACACTCTAGTATGATGTTCCTTTGGAGTTCAAATATTTGGCACCAGCCAAATTCTAGGATGGTGTTAGGCCTTAATTTGAGGGTTCATGAATCTGATGTGTGTTCAAAATATTTTGATCAAGTAACAGTGAAAGATGCTTCTTTTATAACCAATGTATTTTCAATGTAAAATGTATTTCAGGATTTTTCTGCAAGATTAATATATTTCGTAATTTTTCAGTCTTGTCAGACAGAAACACTCAGCAGTGTTATTTTGGAAGATTTTCAGACTTGAGACTCTTGATGAATTCGTCTTTGTGAAAATTTTACACTCGTATCTGTCTTTTTAACAGCTGTCATGGAGGAGTTGGTAGAGGATGACATCTGTATTTTGAACCATGAAAAAGCAGACAACATTCATAAGAGAGATGGGGAGATTCCTGTTTCATCTTACAGTGGAGATGAGTCTGTTGCCTCACACTTCGCACTTGTCACTGCATATGAAGATATCAAGAAACGACTAAAGGAGACAGAGAAGGAGAACTCCCTCTTAAAAAAAAGAGTGAGAATTTTAGAAGAGAAGGTAAGAAAAGAGTTGATTTACCAGCTTCTGGTAGTAGCTACTTTTTTTGCTCCTGGCCAGATGGCAGAGCAGATGGTTAAGTAGTTAAAATACGTACTTAAAATAATTTCCAAGTTAAAAAGTTTTGGCAAGTTGCTTTACTTGTTTAAGTGAAACACAGTTTGTTCCTCTGGTAGTCTAGTTACATCATACTGGGATTTTTGAATTCTTACTGGGCATGTATGTGATGAAATGCAGTAGTGTCCTGCAAAGACACTAGCTTTGATTCAGAAGGATATGTAGTTGCATTGGATCGTTACTGTACTTTATCAGCCTCTTTAGCAAAAGAATCTCTTGGGCTCAGCCTACCAAAATGATAAGGAAAAATTGGTTGTTAAGAATATCTAACTAGGTCTAGCTAGTAGCAATCGCAAACATGAAACACCAAGTTGCAATGCTTAACATAGAGGTGGTGGCTGGCTATTTTTTGATGCAGTAATTGTAAAATGTAAAGGAATACTAGGAGTTTGTTTTATATGCAGTTTGTCATGGCCTTAGTCTAGTGAAGTTTGTGAAAGCTAAAAATTTACCATGGCACGGGCTTTTCTGCCCCGGGTAAAGAATGCTGTCGTTTAACGTATACCCGTCGTTCCGTGGTGAGTGTCTTTGTACTGCAGGAGGTCTTGACTTTGACAGATTGCTTTCTTGTTAATGTAAGATAGAAAGCTAGATCCTAGAGTTAGAGCTGAGACATTTATTAGAACGTAGGTCTAAATATGTGCCATTGACTCTTAAAAGCTTACAAAGTATGTGTTATTTCGTGGCATTGGAATGAAGAGCTTGAGTCACACTCGGTACAGTTTTTGAAACACTTATTCAGGAATTCTTGGTGACTAGTTTGACAGGATTGACTTTCTGCTGAAAGGCAAAACTTTCTCAGCACTTTATATAAGGTCCAGGGGGGTGATGGTGATAGGAATAGAGTGCTAAACTGAAAATTCTCTGAACCACGCTGCGTATGACATCTTTTATGTGGTTACTTAAAATCACAAAAAACAGGACTTGGACCTTGACGATCCCTTTTAGTCCTGTGTCTTTTGGTTTGGCCTGGTTCAGCTTAATTGTCTTGAAGATGATACTTTGTTTTCCATAGAGAAAACTTCTGGCTTAGTTTGTGAATACCAGTGAAATGTTTCTAGGAGGGAGAGGCATTGAGAAGGCCCAGACTGTTAAGTAGCAGAACTTTGAGTCTTTGTTAATGGCTAGTGTATCTGTAAGGTAAAAAATACATGGGGAGTTACCCCTCTTGAGTTTTAAATTTCAAAGAGTATGGAAGCTTCCAGAAAGTTTAATAAGCTTATTTTCTATCTGAATGGCTTTACTTGGGGAAGGAAAATGCAAAGGACAAAACTTAAAATGAGTAGTAAACATACTTTGAGGGTCAATACTAAAAGCGGAGGGCAGAAGCTTTGTATCTTTATGGCTTGCCTTCCCATACTTTCTTTCAAGCAAACGCTTAAAAGAAGAGATATTTAAGGTAGATACATAACTGTCACCTCTGATTTCTCTAATTTTGTTTTTGGTATGGCTCTTAATTTTTAAGAAAACATATATACGTTAATCTGTTGCAAGTGTCTACATAAGGTACACTGAATGTGTTCAAATGCCTCAACAATTTAAACGTTCAGGATAAACAGGATGAAAAAGTTAATGCAACACTTAATCAAAACGAGAACTTTCTATGTGGACAGATGTAATTTGATGCAAGACTTACCTTCTTGCTGTCTCATTAAAAATACTGAATACATTTTAACTCTGTTCCCCTCTTTCTGACAATCTAGTCGGTAGTGCTTATTCCTCCTTGCTTGTCTCTTGCTCTAGCAGGCATTGAGACAGTGGTGATCTGGAAGTTAATAGTTATTTGTAAGATAATTCAGCTTTGGCTTTTGCCACATAAATACAGTGAAAAAAAATCTTTGTTTAAATTATGAGTCATTTAAAAAATTATGTTACTTTTCCTCTTAATTTTCTATGTTACGTCTCTATATGCTTAAAACTCTTCTTCCAAAAAGCAGTTTGTACCTTATCAGAGCCTGGAAAAAATATGATTAAGGGGTTGTCATTATGAGTAATCATGTTTTTTAAATACTCATAGCAACAAACTAGCAAGCCTTAAATATGGTTAGAGATTGCAGATTTTGTAAGGAGCCCTTGTTGCGCTTTTGTAAAAAAATTTGGTCCATATCAATGTGTTGGATTTAATTTGTTTTCTGAACTAAAGAAAAAAAAAATGCTATTAGTTTAACGTTGCAGACTGTACTACTGCACTTTTAAACTTTTGGAGTTCTCAGTGTGACATACAAAACTTCTTATTTCTCATGTCTGTTTAAACTTTCAGCTGCTTGGCTCCCGGCTGGAAGAGGAATGCAGTTCAGTTGGACGCGAGCAAGTAAATAAGGCATACCAAGCCTACCGAGAGGCCTGCATTGACCGAGACAATCTGAAAAGCAAACTGGATAAAATGGTATGCCTCTGAGTAATAACTTAAAGGCATGTTATATAGGTACTGCACAGTTAGTAAATGTTTACTGTGAAATTAATTTTATTTGCTGAAAATCTGTGGTGTTTGTTTTATCACATCTTTAGGTTTTTAAAGTACATGATGATACTTTATGTAGGAATAACAATTTGAAGTATCTCAGTTTTTATTACTGGGGTAGGCTAATGCTAAAAAAAAAAAAAAATCAAAGCAATAGTTTTCTTGGTTGTAAAAAAAGAAGTTGAATTCTGAGATCTGATAGAAAGAAGCTTCACAAGTGGCTTTCCCCGCCCCCAAAATAGGTGAAAGAAAGTGCGGAATCGTTGAAAACCTTGAATGAACAGTTACAGTGTAAAGAAGTAGAGCTGTTACAACTGAGAACTGAAGTGGAAACTCAACAAGGTATGCATTTGGTTACTTCATCTTAACGTACGCTGATTAGTCTTAGTGGTTATATTATGATCTCGGGGCATGAAGAGGCTTAACCCTATAGTGGCTAGGGAAGAGAGGAATATCCTGCAGTGAGGGACCTTGAGCTTGGACATGTGTTTGTTCTTGTAAATGGTGACAGGCATGTTTGATTATCACAGACAAGGAGCTCCCTGGTAAAAATCTGAGGCTGTCATCTTCTTCGGCTGTAGGTTATTTAATAATTTGAGAGATGTGCACTACCTGACAGTTATTAGGCTAGTCACCTGCATCTCTGGACCCCACCAGCTTTTCCTCAGGGTGGGGTAGGGGCGTACCTGTTTGAGTATCAGACAGTATCCAGTCGATACCACCTCTCTGGTAGCTGCAGATGATCTGGTATATTGCTTTGTTTCACTGTTGGGGTGGGACAGGTACACGAGGATGTTGGAGAGCAATAGCTGCAGTCCACAACAGCTCTTTAAAGGGCTGGGGGTGAAGAAAGGTAGAAAGATCCTGGTTGTAGAGAGCCTGATGGAAAGAGGAAAGAGAAGCAAACTGTGTACCCTGGCAATTCCAAAGGCCCAAATCCAGCTTCTGTCACTGCCACTGTGAAGAGTGCTGTGTGGATGATAGGTATATAAAATAAAACTCTATGGAAGAAAAAAATAATCTTTATTAATGTACTGTTACAAGGAAAAAGAAGAAGAAAATATCATCTGTGTAAAGTTAGAGATATGGACTGGACTTCAGATTCTGTACAAATCAGGTATTTGAAGGGTACTTGTACGTATTACTGTGCTTGAATTGGATTGCTTTGCAAGAGGACCTCAAGCATGTAATGCACTACTTCAGTTGCACGAGTTTTTAAACCTAGAAGAACAAGCCACATGTAGTAGTAGTATCGTTGTCGAGGGCATGGTGGTTTAAAGAGGTAAGAAGTGCAGAGTTTATAAAGAGAGCTCTGAAAATGTGGTGATTTCAAGCCTTATTTAGTAATCAATTTTACTCATAAGTGAGCTCTGAGTACCTTGTTTAAGAAAAATCAGTGTAGTTTAAGCTTGTTTAAATTGTTAAATCTAGGAGTGAGTGTACCATGCAGTTGAAGGCTTAAGGGTTTTCTTCCTGTCATGTTCTTTCTTTTTGTGCTATCTGCCTACTACTGATTTGATGCTAGGGTTATCTTAGGTTGTGTCTTAATAGACACCGTGTGAATTTCTTCTGTCTAAGAAGACTTATGTAGGTCTAGACTTTACTCTTTTGTTTTGATCGTATCTTGTGTAGTTCTGTTTGGAACTTCTTGATATTAAGCTTGGGAAAAACTTAAGGTAACTTAAATCTGAGGGAGGAGAAGGCTTATGTTTTCAAAGCATGTAAGAAGTATGCAAGTTGGTGTATGTATCCTGTGTATTTGCCATTAACAGATTTTTTTTATTATTATTATTCCCAGTGCCTTTTCATGCTGTCACTTCCTTTTTTTTTATGTAAAGTCTCCAGTGCATAATTGGAAAGTAGGACTCGGTACTTTAAACTCAGAAAATATCCTACTTCTCTGCCAGCAACTGTACCAGTATCACTGTTTCTCTGTTGTCATAGACTGCAGTTTCTTCAGAATACAGAGGATATTTTTTTGTAGGGCATGGGCTGGTTAAAGTGAAACTTTACATGTACAAGAGTTGCGTGTCTTGAACCGAGACTGAAATCTGGTTGTCTTGGTTGTCTTTTTACAGTGATGAAAAATCTGAATTGTACTCAGTCTAGCTGGGAAATAGAGAAGCTGAGCAGTGACCTGAAAGTGCATAGTCTGGAACAGGATCTAGAGAAGCTCAAGCAAGAGTGCAACAGTCTCAGGAAGGAGTTGCAAAAATCCAAGCAGAAGGTACCTCTATTTTTTAAGGAATTTTTGTACTGATAGATTTGGCTGTGTGTACAGTATGATTAAGTCCCTTGTTCAAGCAAAATAAAGGGTAAACAAAGATATATAAAGTATATACTTGAGTGAAAGATTAACATCCCAGTAAAATTAACCTTAAATAGTCTCGTAGACTGGCTTGTTTCTTGGAAATAGTACGCTTACATAGGTGACATTTCCCAGCCACTGCCCACAGAACAACAGAAAATAGAGCTTTACAATTTCTTATAAATAGCCAATCAAGTCGAAGTGTCCTGTGCTGGTATTTGTCTCGGGCTGGACTTCTTGGAAAGTTTGGGCAAAACCTACTTGGGTTTTGGTGTTGGTTGGGTGGGTTTGTTTTTTTTTATTATTATTATTTATTTATTTTTATTTGTTTGTTTGTTTTGTTTTTTAAGAAACAACCAAATGCTTATGTTAAAAGATACCACAAACTTGGTTTAAGGAGCTCAAGCACTTTTCTTTAGGGTAGTTGCATGCAGTTTGTCAGGGAGGTGCATTTTTGTAACAAGGTTTCCAGAATCCTGCTTATACCTCTTTTAGTCTGGGGCAGATGTCTGTGGTGAGGGACTCATTGGGTAACGGAGATGTGGTTAGGATCTCAAAAAGGAAATTAAGATATCTTAACAGTAATAAAATGCATTAAGTTTTAAAAAAAAAATCATGTCTAGTGCGTGCTTACTGCTTTAAAAGTGGCAGGCTCTGGGACTCATTGAAGTTACACAATAAATTTAGAAGGTTTAAATGTGATTGCTTGAAGAGGCAGACTCTTTTAGGTTTCTTGTGGTCATTAATAATTATGATTATGTAACCTCATTACGTAATATTTGAGCGAGCCAACATTTGACATATGTAAGACTTGCAGGTAGAACCCTTGCTTGACCCTCACCCTGCCCTCAAACAGGATTTGGTTTTAATTTGGAAATGCTTCTTTGGCTCTTTTTTCTTACGGGCACGCTTACATTACTACAGAAATGTACTTTTGAAGCAAATCCCCCAATCACCACTGCCTGCTGTGCAGTCAGGAGTACGGGAACCGGGTTCCTTTTGGAGGAAGCTGAGAAGGTGCACCCCAACCTCTCAGAGCCAGCCTGAAGTGAAGCTCTTCCCCCCTGCTGCTCTCAGAGCATCCGTAGTTGGGGTGTTGGGTTCTCAGCGCTGAATGCGCCTCTGCAGACCTGCTGCTGTCACACCACACCCCGCTTACACCGACAGACGTCCGTGCACCGATGGTCTTGTCTCGGGTTTAATCTGTTTTTTCCACTAGGTGGGGATAAAGGATGTCACCTGGCAGGCATGCGAGGGGTTCGGGTAACTTCTGTTACTGTTGGTGGTTGTTTTCACTTGGATGGGGAATTCTGCTAGGTGTTTTCAGCAGCTTGCAAAGTCTGAAGGCACACGGTGACTTGTCGGCAGCTCTAGTCTTCGGGTAGCTCTGCAGAATGGAGTAACAGCTACATAAATAATTGAAGATTGCAGCTTGGGTTGTGAGAAGGAATGTTGCTAGAAAGAATGGACTCAAATAGCAGTTGTAAGGAGTACTAGGCATGACACTGCTTAAATAATGCTTATGTCAGCAGCTTTTCTTGCAAAGAACAAATATAAGGAACAGCCTTTTTCTTTTGTTAACATCATTTTTTGATCCTGGGAACTGCTTAATAGAGGAAATAAAAAGGTACAAGTTTTCATATGTGGGGTAATACAGCGCAATTGTGGGGCTTTGTTTTTTTTTTGTTTTTTTTTTTTTTTTAAATGAAATAGAATCTGTGATGGGTGGTGGGAAAGAGTTCAGGAGGGGGGAAATACTGTCAGGTGAAATACAGGGAAATGTGATCGCTGGGCAATGACAAGTCAGCATTGTTTCAAACCCAGCTGGTATTTTCATTATTACTGGTTTTACATTAGTTACAATTTTCAGATATTTTTTACCTTAGGTAAGTACACTTCTTTTTTCTTTTTTTTTTTTTCTATTTTTAGATATTCTTATTTGGGTTTTGCATTGTAGTTGGTGCAGTGTGTACGTTACTGACAAGTTGCTTGCAATGGGAGCAGGAAGGGAGCATGGAGAGAAGGGATGTGGATGGGAACTCATCACAGGTGATGGGCTAATACGAACATGGTTAACGAAGGGAGCCCCGTGTTTGATTTGTTAACTGGCCCTGTGAACTGCAGTGAGGCTGCTTGTACTCACCATTTAAAGCAGTCTTTCAGTCTCAAGGGATAAATTATATTTTCTCATAAATGTAACTTGTGGAATTAAATCTATACTGAAATGGTTTTCTTTAAATTAAAGGTCTTTATAGACTGGGACAGGGAAGGAACAAGAGAAGACTGATTCAATTTTTAATTCAAGTCAAAAACCTTTCTCAATTTTTGCTTTTCAAAGAATCACAATTTCCAAGAGCTCAGCTGTTTGGTTTGTTTTTTTTTTTTTTTTTTTTAAAAAAAAGTGAAGGAAGAGAGAGAGTATGGCTGAGCAGTGCTTTCACACAAGTAGGTAATTTAAGCATTTTTAAGTGGAAATTCTTAGCAGATGTCTTTATGTCCATTTTGAAAACCACTGCAGCCAACACAAAAGACTACTCCTGAATTGTGATATTAGAGAACTTGTAGTTTCATTGCAGTAATTTCAGATAGAGGATCTGAAATCATACAGTCGTTCCTTCTTTATCATCCCCTCATTCTGTTATGCAGGACCAGGCTCAGGATGAAAATCCATTAACTGGAGACCTACTTCAAAGGCAAGACATCCAGAGGTAGGAAAATCAAGTGGCTCTCATGTTTTAGTTTACTGAGGGACAGGTATTTGAACAAGTAAATATTCTTGCAGCCTGTTCAAATTGTTATTTGAAATTACATAATCTGCTTTCAAGTCTAGGTATACTGATTGAGCAAGATCATTTTAATTCTTTTTTTTTTTTTTGTTATATTGGCAGTCCAGGATGATGATGATAAGAACACATTTACATCTTCAAATTGTTGTACAGAAAATGAATGTTAAGTTATATTGTATTTAAAAATCTGCTTTTTGATAATTAGTTGACTTGATGAGGTGCTAGATAAATTTCAAAGTCTAATCCCAGCTGTGCAATATCTTCATTCTGTGTATGGGAAGGTTTCTGTATTTGCATAGCTGATGGCTTCAGATCTCTTGCTTAGTGTTGGAAGATGCATTCTTACTTAGTGCAGTGCAATAATATTTCTATTAGAAGACATTTTAAAGGATTTTTTTTTTTTCCTAATACTGAGGAGTCATTGTGTGACCTATTCAAAAAGAAATAGCAATTTTCCAGGAAAAATGCTGACTTATCAAAAAGCATTTGTTCTCATTTTGCAGCTGTTGAGATAATAATTGTGCTAAACCTAAGCATCTATACTATGTTATCCTGTCGAGTATGGGTGCTTTATTGGAAAGTATATGTGTATTCTTTGATTCTTCACGCAAAAGAACAATTCATGAATGCATGGAGGCTTCCAACTGTTTTGTCTTGCAGAAATGAAGCACTAACTGCATCATCCCTTACGCTGTTATGCCCGTTCGTGTAATTACACGACTTTCCACAAGAGGGAAGACTGGCCCTTCCTAATGACGGGTGGTTCAGCGGAACACCTTGTTGCTTACTTGCCTCTTGAACAGACGGGAAAGGAAATCAGTCACTGAAAGAGAACGGCACAGATATTTCTTTTCATATGTTCTCTGGTGTAATGAGAATAATACTACACGGGCTATACACAGATTACACTTTCACCTTGCCTGGCTAGCTAGCTAGCTAACACTTTTTCTTGTGGTTTCTGCTGGAGCTTCGTAGTCAGTCTTACACGCCTGAGAAAAGGTGCTATTTCAAGGTAAAGCAGTTGGCTCTTTGATCTTTCAGAGCAGATTTCTTCCACAAAATGATGTTCGGGTGGCAACCATATGAATTAGCCTGTGTACAGTATAGTATTTACTGTAATCTGACCTAAATAATGGAAGCGTAATGTGTACTGAATATATAAATCTCTCCAGAAATCTGTGGAAAAACACTTGAAAAACCTCCTGTGCGAAACATTTGTCGTAGGAAGCAATCCTGCTGTTTGTGGGAGATGGAGGCGTTTGCAGTTAACTTTTTAGAGAGTAATTATTTCACATTTGTCAGCAGCCTGCAAATCTGACTTTAAATTCTGAGTTTGCAAATCTACTCCGCCGAGGATTTAGATTGGCTATCACCGTCAAGGTTTATCCTGCATGTTAGAAGGCAGGACAGGATAAACTTCAGAGCGTGTGGAACCTTTGGTTTTCAGTTGCAGATTGCTTGAAAATTAGGCTTTGCAGGGGGATTCTAGGTCAGTATTCCCAAAAACAGTTAAAACGTTTTGTGGGATTTAAGTGGAATTCTCGTACCTGCATGCCTTTGCCAGTTGCTTTTTGAAGTGCTAAAGTGCACGTTACAAAATTTACGAAGCACTTGCCTTCTGGTTGGTGGCAGAGGCTGAGCTGCTCTTATATTTACCACTTTTATACGTAAATATATTTAAATATTGGATGGTTCTGTTTGATCTTATTTTTGAGACCAAAACAGATGAATAAATTGTGGTTGCCACATCAACTTCATTTTTAAATTGCCCTCTCTTACAAGTTCAGAGAGCCAAATGGATTCTGCCGTGAAAAAGCCACGGGTTTAGCCAAACTTCTTGAAATACCAGTTCTGAAAATGAACTTTCCATCTCTCAGAATTGCTGATCCTTACAGCCTCCTCTGTTCTTCTACAGAGCTTTTGAATCTGAACTTTTGTATTCTGGGAAAATATTTCTCTGCATGGAAGCAAGTTTAATGTCTTTGTTTTAAGGGAACTCTTTTAGCACTAACTTGCAGAACAGAATAATAGCTGTTTCTCAGAGTGCTTTTGAACACGTTCATGTCTGATAAATTTCATGCAGGACTGATCCTGAATTGATATTTTAGAGGGATGCAAATCTGTATATATTCATGTTTGGAAAAACAGTGTTTATGTAGCTTAATAGTTCTTAGTCATCGCAACAATAGTTTGAGGCACTGAACTGTTTTCAAATACATGTCTTCTAGGTGAATATAGTGAGGAAGAAAGAAATATTCTGAAAAATCTCATCCATGATACTTGTCCTCAATAAATGTTGTGGTAGAATGTTGAGCGTTAAGAAAAACATTAAATCATTGATTTCATGTTTAAGTTGTAGTAACTGCATCCTTGTGTCTTTGAACACTAAGTTAATTATTAATCAACGTAAATGTTGTGTTCAGTGAGCCTTTGCTCAAAATTTTACCAAGAAACATATGGTGATGTGGACTTTTCTGATTTTTTTTTTTTGTTGTTGTTGTTTTGTTCTTGATTTTTCTTACCAGCTAATAACCAGAAACTTCAATGTTGGGACAGTGCTGCTGTTGCTGACCATGTTTCTCATATTATCCTATCTTACCAGAGAATGAGTTGGGTCGCTGTTTTTTAAACTGTCTGATAAGGCAGTGAAGCCAAGAATTTTGTAATTTTCCATATGTCTTCCCTCTTCAGCAGTGTATTAACATAAATTAGATGACTTGAATAGGAAACGGTGTATTTTATATTCCAGTTTGGTCTGTGTGTGGGTGCTTAGTTTGGCTCTTGGGTATCTAGTCCAAATTCACTGTAGCAAAATGAGCGGCGTAGAGACCCCAATGCTGCTTTTGATGTGGAGATTTAAAACGATGGTTAATTAACATTACTGGGGTCATGACACATGATGGTGCGTGTGGTCGTTTATCAGAAGCCATTCAAAGTTAATACTCTACCTTGTTTGCAGTCTAGGGTCCATTTAATATATTTTCTAAAAAGTATTCCCTGGAGATTACTAGTTTTCTAGTAAGATGGTTAGTTTCAAATAATGAAATTGGAGACTATGCGTCATATTTCTTTCCATTTGGGAAACTTGAAAGAATCCTCTAGAATGTTAATATATAATACATTATAGATTGTAATATTGCAAGAGTCAAAGCGTACAAAAGTCCATCAGTTTAAGATAATTGTCAGTACTGATTAATTTCGAAATATGGTACTTTAGTAAAATTAGCAGTGTATGTCAGGCAAAAACCTGTTAATGCTCGATGAGCATGTCAGTAGGCATGGGGGTGCTTTAAAGGTGCCAGTTATTTAACTTCTAAAAAATTTTTGTTTTGGAAGTGTACAAGCAGCATACTGGGAACTGAAGAGAGAAATGTCTAATTTGCGTCTGGTGACTGACGTGCAGGCTGAGGTTCTGCGAAAACTGAAAACAAACCCGACGGCGACCCAGAAAGGCAAGTCAGTGTTTGCAGTAACAGCGTTCACAGACACAAGCGGTTGATGCAAGCTGTACCATTTCAAAAGAAGCTAGCTATCATATCTTATCAGAATCTCATCAATTGAAGTTGATAAGATAGACTGTATTATGGTTCCAGCCTACCCATTTTCTGCTTTTGCTTCTGTCTCATACTGGTCAACTTCACACATAAAGGTGTTGCTGATGTGTTTTTTCTTCAGTACTGTATTCTGTTCCCCTTGTGGCTTTTTTCTCAGTCAAGTGTTGCTTATGTGCACAAGGCTGAGGTGTTAAGTTTACTCGTATTTGACCTTTTACCACAACTACTTCATATTAGGGGGAAAAAAAAAAAATCTTTTTGCAAACACAGTCGTCTTTTCCCAGTATAGAATACATAAAGTATTTGGCAACATTTTAAAATCAGGCTTTAATAGCCTGAAATTCCCTTATGGTTGCGTGTTTCTTTATGTTGGCCTTCAGAAAAGCTGTCTCCTCTGGCAAAACGCTATGCAAGATGACATTTGCTGACTGTCAAAATACAGAGGGGCTGCAAAGCTGCCTCCTTTCTGCTGCTACGTTGCAAATAGTTAAGGGGAAAATAATTTCCATATGAAGTAAGTATAATTTCTCCGAGCAGTTCAGCAGATGGTTCTGTTCCATAGGTCTCTTTTCTCCCAAGGAGCGCGTTGTGGCCCTGGTGGGGGCCGGCTCTCAGCCTGCCTGTTTATCGCTGTGTTTATTCCCTCTGCTTTCTGCTCACTTCAGTCGTGGTATTTACTGTGTTCAGAAAACAGAAGACGCCGGTGAGAGACTGTACATTTGGTTCCGACGGGCGGGTGACAGTCCCCAGTGTCCCCGTCCATTACAAGATCAAGACGTTTTTGTTCCTAAGCACCTCGGACTGGCTGGGGGAGGTCAGGGAGGATTCGCCTCCGGGTCAGTCGCTGCCTTCGTGGCCAGCAGTGGTTAACAGCCCCTCTCTGGTACTTGCCCGATGAACAGACCGACACGTCCTGTGGCCTGGGACATACCCTTACCAGCTGAGGCCGTGTTCCTACAGCTCCAAGACCCATTTGTCCAATAACTTCAACAGAGAAACTGGCAACCGACAAGGAGTTTTTAATCCTTAAGTCTCTCAAGGGTTGCTGGGATCACGTAGTGTCTTTCTGTCCGTATTTTTAACTTGCAGACATCTGTCTTGCCACTGCACAGATGCTGATTTTTCTCTTCTGGTTGGTGAACAGTCTGATTTTCTGCAGTTGCTCATGCGGTTGTATATCCACGGCTATAAAAGGCATTTGATTGATTGGGAACCAGTGGATTTTTGCTTTTGCTTTGTGGACTTTTTTCCAGGAATTTTTCAGAAGTATGTAAGAGTGGGCAGGTTCAGCAGAAATTAAAAGCGTCTTGATTTTTTTCTGTTTACCTTGCTCGTCAGCCACACTTAAGCATGTAATGCAGACGGATCTGTGCTTCACTTTATCAAAAAATCTCGGCTTATGCAAAGTGTGGGTAGAGCTGACTTACTGACTTAAAGCCTCCACTTCCTACACCTGTAGTCCCAGCTATTTTACCACATACGAACCGGTGCCCCTACGAGAGGTGTGTAAAGTCTGCAGAACTCGGTGCGTTCCTGGCTGCTTGTGAGACTTTCGCAGTGTCAGTCGACACGTGGATTCTGCTTGGCTTTATGTTCAGAGGCATTTTCAACAACCGTGTGTCTGCAGGCTTTTTTTATTTGTCTTGGCTTTGTTTGTTTCGGGTTTGTTGTTTCTTGGGTTTTTTTGTTTGTTGGTTTTGGTTTTTTGGTTTGTTTTTTTTTTTTTTTTTTTTTTTTTTTACATTTGCAATCCATTTTCAGTGGATTCTGTTTTTCTTGAACTTCTAACGGTCTGTCGACCTCTAACTGTTCTTTATTCCTGTCAGCACAAAGAGGCCGGATCCAGTGCCTTGGCTTCAGATACGGTGCCTGGGCTGTTGGGAACTGCTTTTGGCTGACATGGGCGAATTGGGCTCCACGTTTTAATTCAGAGTGACAAACGGAAGTTGTATTCTTTGACCAAGACACTGGCTCCTCTTTCTGTCCCTTAAGAACTAAAGTTACAAATCCCAGAGCGTTCTCAAGATTCACGGCTGTGCTGGAAAACTGCCTGTACCATGGGAGTTTCCTTAACCGCAGGAATGGTGAATCTGCTCCCATTGCACGTTACGTAAATCACCGCTGCAAAAAAAAAAAAAAAAATGTCCTGGTTGTATCTGGCCATCTGTTGAGACACAGCTCTTTCATTTCAGGAAGATGCTGTTCTGTTTCAAACCCCTCCCCTCACCAGCAGAGTTTAAAACTCCCCTGGAATTGGAGATGGCTGAAGGCTGTAGCCTGTCGCTTTGCTTTCAGAGGTCAGGCAGTAGTGGAGCACAGAAACGTGCGCTGCCCTCGTGCTGCTTCATGGACAGCGAGAATTCAGCTGCTTGGCAGCCTGAGAACACGACGTGTTAAAGCAATCCGTAGAGCAGGAGGAAGCAGGCTCTGCCTAAGCAGTGCTCTGAATCTCGCCGATTCCTCCACGGAATCTCTGTTGCAGCATTCATTCCAGTCCTGGCAAAAAGCTTCATCGCTTTAGCGGTGTTCAGGTGCGAGCTGGGAGGTTGCCTTGGCTCTGGGTATATTTCAGACATTGCAATTTCAGGATCTCTGTTTCATCTTGCAAAATCAGACTGAGGAGGTTAGTATGTTCAGCTTGCAACTTTTTAGTAGTTACTGAAGTAAAATACGGTCTGAAAATTTGTAGCTCGAAGACGCTGGGTTTAACATCCCTGCTCTACTGTACCAGATTTGGAGTGTATGAAAAATGCATTAGATAACGGAATCTAAAAAATCCTTTTTATCTTCTTTCTTCAGCTGCCTCTACTGCACCAGTACAATGTGTTGACTTGAACATTTCAAAGCTGAATTTGACATCTGGGGTAGCCTATAAAAAACTCTCCAAAAATGATAAAGTATTCAGCAACGCGGGGTCTCCCCCTCCGCCGAGAGATGCAAGAACCCCATCTGAAAGGGTGATTCTCCGAGCATGGACAGATGAGAGACCCGTTCCACTTGATGGCAAGACGTTTCAGGAACACCATTCCTATGGGAAGAGCTCTCTGGAAGATAATTCCTGGGTATTCCCAAGTCCTCCGAAGCCTAATGAGAATGTGTTTTGGGAAATGAGAAATAAAACAACTTTGTTAAACTCTCCAGCAGATTACCTGGATCGGTGTAATCAAAACTGTCTGCACAAGAGTTAAACAATTGTTAGAATGAACTGAGGCATTTTTAGAGCGGCACCTTAATGCCTGAACTTTCGAAGAGGGAAAACAAATTGCCTGAAATGTTCGTTCTTTATTTTTAATTCTAGTTCCGAAACAGCAAGCCTAGTCTTCCTCTGCTGTAAGTCAGAAACAAGTTCCTTGAAGTTAGAGCTGTGCTGGTATAAGGGAAATGCAGAGAAACCTGGCGTGGGGCCTCGATAGCCTTGTACTGCAAATGGCGTACAGGTGCAGGAGATTACACTGAAAAGTGAGTTCTCGGAATAAAACAGAATAATCCAGTTTTGTATTTGTTTGCTATTTGTATGTTGTCAAGAAAATCCTTGATACCCTGTGCTAAAATCTGTACCGGCTCTGAGCTGATTTTTTTGACAGCGTTTTTTTTCAGAGTAAGACAGAAAATGAAGAGCTGGATTATCTCTCCCTTCCTCCTTTCAATGGACTTTGATTCCTCTGCTTTAGAAATGCAGTTTTAACCACGACAGGTGAGATCTTTGAGTGAAAATCCTGATTTATATTAGATAGTGGCAGGCGGAAAATCGCTCCTAGGCTGTCCTGTTCGGGTTGCACCATTTTGGGCCTTATTGTGAATTACACGGGATCCGAAGTGACGCTGCTCAACGCTCGGCAGCCTGGGTGTTCGGCTCGTTTCCCTCCGTCCGTCCGTGCTGTGGGCAGCTCAGCCCAGCTCAGCCCAGCTCAGCTCAGCCCAGCTCAGCTCAGCCCAGCTCAGCCCAGCTCAGCCCAGCTCAGCCCAGCCCAGCTCAGCTCAGCTCAGCCCAGCCCAGCCCAGCTCAGCTCAGCCCAGCTCAGCCCAGCTCAGCCCAGCTCAGCTCAGCCCAGCCCAGCCCAGCCCAGCCCAGCCCAGCCCAGCTCAGCCCAGCCCAGCTCAGCCCAGCCCAGCTCAGCTCAGCCCAGCTCAGCACAGCCACCCCCTTCCCGCTGCAGTCACCCCGATGGTGCTGCCTGTGCACACCACCACGACCTTGACCTTTTTATCTGTGTGGTGGTGAAGGCTAATAACTTTTCTTTTATTAAAGAAGCAAAGCCTTAATTTAATCGGACTGGATGAGGTGGTGTAGCATTGTTGACAGACAGAAGTACTCCCGTGGTACCTTTGGTGTGCCACTGAGAACTAGTTATTTGAATTGCAGCTGCCTGCTTTATAGATTATGGGTGTCCAAATACTGCTGCTTTTTTAATTATTGTTATTTTAAGGCCAAGAAGATCGTTTTACAACAAATACAATTTATGCTTGTTTGTTTGTTTTTAAAAAAACCTGCTCTGCTTCCTATCTGGCTTAACATAAGAGGGTTAAGTGAAATGCCTTGACTACTCATTATGTTGAGGAAAAATGTTTTGTATTTTATGATCCATGATACTTGTAGTGCGTGGGAAGACACTTAATAATAAATATGTTACTTACAGATGTGTGGGTGGGTAAAGTATTCGACTTCACAGGTCCCAGTTTAAGCTCAGTGTAATAAAAAAATTAGCTTCACAGCTTTCTAGTAGCAAATTGTCTTAAAATTGCTTGCAAATACTTGGGGAAGCTATGACCAGCATAGCCCTAGTAACGAAGGGCTGTAAAAGTGTCACCAAGGTGCTACGTGATCTGTGTGGTTCCAGACGCCTCCTTCCCTGTGGAGTAAATACTTGGTATGACGCCCGGCTTCTTCTCTTTGGGTTTGTCTGTCAGAGTTGAAAAAATGCCTTCCGGATAACTTCCGCTGTGTTAGCGAACAGCATACATAAATAATGCTTCCCGTTCACCAGATAGCGCTTTTATCTTTCTATTATCTTGCTCACGTATCCTGGCTTGTCTGTGATTAATGGAAATAGTGTCAGATGCTGGAATTTATTCTGACCAATGAACACAGCTGACTCAGGGGAGTACAATCTCTTGGAAAGTAATAGAACAAAACCCAATATGCATAAAACAAATCCGAGGCCCTAGGCTTTAGCTGATAAAACCAACTACCTGTGTAATAACAAAGCAGCAGAAAACATTTCTCGTGTGGCTGCATAAGCTATGTGATCTCTAGTTCTAATGTAGCTTCCTTTTTGGGGTCCCCCACCTCAACATCACAAATGTTTTTTATTAAAAGTAATGTATTAGCCAACAGCTCTCAACATGATTAAAACTTTGATTTGTTCAATGAAGGAATTCTACTGTGTAAGATTTTAAATAAATTTATTTTTGTTTGAAATCGGTTTCACTCACAAATCTCCTTTCCCTATTTGGCACAGAATTTTTTTTTCCTCCAGTTTTGATTCCTTGACTGCGTATAAAAGTCGTTCCAAATGCGACCAGTTACAGTTGAGGTTCCTCCTCTTCCTCATCCCCTGGAGCCTGCTGCAGTGTACTGTGCGAAAAGCCTTCTCCTGGCGGCCTGGGTTACCTTACGCTGCGGCGTGTCCCTGTGCTTTGTCTCCTTGTGTCAGAAGGTCCCTGGCCAGGCTGGCCTGGCCTGGGCGAGAGGGAAACTTGACGTGGAGCTGCTCCCTGCCATGCCTGAGAGTTTCCAGGCTCTGCCTTTCACTCTGGGTTTGCCCGGAGGGACTCGGGGAGAGCGAGTCTGGAGGAGGGCGAGAGCTCGGTGTAGGCAGCGCTTCCCGTCCAGTCCCGCGCTGCCGGGGCCAAGCCAGAACGCCTGAAAAGGAAAAACCCCGGATCCAGAGTCACTCCGGAGCTCGCTGGCTTGGGAAGCATCTGCTGGTCCGGAGCGCGCAATCAAATTCTGACTGGAGATGGAAAAAGTCATTTAAATCCCTGCCGCTGGTGGCTGACGGGGCGGTTTTTCATTTTCAGGAGTGAAGTGTTTTCAGCGCGGTGCCAGCAAATTACGTGCAGAAACAGCTGTGGGAAAGGGGCTGGGGTGGTTCGTGTGGACGTGGGCGTTTGTTACAGGAAACCATGAAGGAAAGGACCAAAGTCCTCAAATAAGTATAATAAATGACACCCCAAAAAAAGTAACTTGGATGCAAACTTTGAACGTTTTAAAACTTGACCTGATTCACCAATTTGTCAAAGAACTAGTTCCATTTAACAGAAATGGGAGCCAGCTTTGGGGGCAGGAGGAGGTAGTTTGCGCGTCTAAGCGAGCGCGAGGCCAGCTGATGAATGTGCACTTGGAGAGTTGGACGAACTTTCTAATAACTCAGATGTAACCTTCTACTGTTTGTTTCATTTTAAATACTTGTAAAATCTCATCATTTTAAGTCTTCCTTGCCACTTCTGTGGGTTTACAACTGAGTAGTTTTCCTCTTACATGAAGTAGCCCTATTGAAGAAAGCAAACTCCCAAATTAATTGTGACGCACTGTCAAATTTTTACAGCTGGAAAGAGATGAGAGCGGTACCAGGCACAGGGCAGAGTTACAGCAAGACAAGGCCCCTTCCAAGTCATTAACCCAGGCCCACGGGAGTAGAGTATGAACTATGACCCTGGATTTTATTGCAAAACCAAACGGGAGGGTACTTTGAGACTCCGGCAGGGACACGTGTATTCTCAGCGATGCGCTGGCCTGACAAGGGAAGAGGGAGAAGCTCCAGGAGCTGCGGAGGGGTGAGGTGTTTCCCTCTTGCTTTGTGCAGTTTGGCTACAAAAAGGCAGGTGGGGGTTGGGGGGGGTTGCTTTTGGTGGTTTTTTTAGGGGGTCAGGCTTTTGGCCCTTTCTCTAGGGGCAGCGGGTGTGCTATTTGCAATTGCACGAATATAGGACAGTGGACTAAAGTATTTGGGTTTATAGTATCAGCGCTGAAGGTAAACTAATTTTAATGGAGTTGCGGTTGAACCATTTGAAAAAAAAAAAAAAAAATCAAATCTGTTCCCTGTAGTAAATGTGAACTGAGATCAGTGTCCAGCAGAATTAATTTCATTATCTTTTAAGATGGCAGAGACAAAAGTGGTTCAAACACCCAGGCACAGTAATTAAGCAGTAAGATGGCGGTGGGGGTTAACTTTGGATGTTTGATCTAGGGGAGAGAGAAATAACCAGGGGCTTACTGTTACTGCTTTTTAACTAGATGGACCACTTGCATTTTAACTGGGTTTGACCACTGTTGGACCAGCAGAGTAAAGCGAGCACAGGAATTACTTGCAGGAGTCGCTTGAGGAGGAGCGTGGCTGTAGGAAATAGGAGGCAGGACGGGTTTCTGGCTTACAGGTTAATGGCTGGGCGGTGGCTCAGACAGCAGTTCCACACCTCTGGAAACCCTGTGCAAACTGCTACTTATCTTTCCTCTGAGTTTTCATTTTACTCTATGAAGGCAAACTTTTTAAATAAATCTATGATGCCCTTTTCCTCCTTCCTTTCAGATCTTGCCTTTGTAGGGGGCTCGTCTCAGGAGTTTGAAGAGAGCTTTGATACACTGGAAGTGTCGTCTCAGGTGAAAATGTGGGTGTCTTGGGTGCTTGCCAAGTTCTCCCAACTGCTGTGAAGAGGCAAAGATAGGCCCCCCGTGCTGCGGCAACTGATGGGTGCCCGGCTGCACGGCCCGAGGGTGGGAGGTGACACATCAGCCTTCTGGTTTTAAGACCTTAATCCATCCGTGGCAATCACTAGTGCCACGTGGTGGTGGATGGTTTTAAACTGGCTGAGCACACCGTAACCATTTCACATGAACAGGAGCACCTGAAAACACAGGAGCCACACCTAGATAAATCTGACCCGTTGTCTGCTCCTACGCAGAATAGTGATGCGTAAGAACCCTGCAGAATTGATTTCAAAATGAAAAGAGCACATGAAGAAACGTCTAGGGGACCACTAATCAGGGTTGCAATCCCTGGTGCCGAGCGAGAGGCGCCAAGGCTGGCTCCCTTCCTCCTCACCTGGGGCTGGCTACTCCGGGGAAGCACCGGCAGCTCACTCCCTGTGTTCCTCTGGGAGGTGGAGGGGCTGAGCTGGGAAGATCGCCAGGCTTCCCGGGCTAGACCCTCCTGTCATTCATGAGTATCTGCTGACAAAACAGATGTGCTTTTTAAATGATGTTCAGCGCGTAGCAAAAAAAGCTTCCAGTTCCCTGCTGAAGCAGAGCTGAAGGCTTTTGTCAGTACTATCCCTGTTTTCCTACATCTCTCAGATTCTATGGCTGCTTCCAGTTAGGCAGGAGAGGCTGCAGCTGAGACAAAAAAAACAAAACTGAAAGCAATTTACTAGTACCTGTCACTTCATAGTACCTATTCTTTCCTTTAAACTTTACGTAAACTATGTAAATGCAATTCAAATACAAGATACTGCACACGACACCAAGAAAGTGAAAGGTGCGAAATCAAGAACTCAAAACTAGGAAACATTCCATGAAGCCCGGGAGGAAGTGGATGCCAGAGGCAAGGGCAGAGCCCCGCTCTAAGTGCACACCGAGGTAAACAAGAGCTGTTTACGGGGGGAGTAACCCAGTTCTTCCTCGCAGAGGCAGCAGCGGAGGTCAAGGGAAATGAATGGCTGCCAGCGGAATTCAGTATGTGCGGTTCCAGGCTTGACAGTCCAGCTTGGTTACCGGTTCACATTATGGAAGGGGGGGGGGGGGGGGAGTAGCACCTGCAGGTTAAAGGGGCTTTTGTTCCACTCCCGGCATTAATTGCTGCCCAGCAGCACTGCCCAGTGGGCAGGGGATCCTGCGAAGCACCTGCCTCGGCCGGAGCGCCCGCTCCAGCCCAAACCCTCCCTGCAAGTGCTCCCGGCAGCACCTGCACCCAGAGGCTGCGACGCAGCTGGAAGTGTTCACAGTGGGTTAAGAGAACAGTCGCTGTCCTTACGAAAAAAAAAAAAAAAATCACCTTCTACCTTAAAAAAAAAAGAAAATTCACCTTCTACCTTAAATTTCCTCCTTTTTAAATACATACACGGAAACAACTCATTTTCCAATAACTGATTTGGAATATTTTTGTTTTCCAAAATGCTTGAACAGAGGAGCCAAGAGCAAGTACGTGTGTAGGAAACTTAATTCCCCAGAAGCTATTTTAAGGTGGTTAGTTTGAGCTAAATGCCACTTAAGTTTGCCTGACAAGGCAGACGGCTACACATCACCTCAGTTTTTCATTCACAAGCACGCCCTAGTCCTCCAGCCAATTTGCTAATAACAGAAGCAACATTATTATTGATTATTCCAGCAAAAGGTATGGAATAAAGGGCAAAGACCAACCTGCAACATTAACTCAAGTACTTCACATAGATGTGTCTCGAAGCCTGCTTTGAATTTACTACTTGAATGGCTTTAGAGCAGCAGCAGTGGTTTTGTGGTGAAACAGTTCTAAAATAAACGTGTCACATTTTGCATCTGCTGAGGGAAAAGTAACAAATCCTACTACTTAAGACAAATTTCTTTTTTAAAAAAATCAGGGCATTGAAGTTACCATGTGAGTAGGTTTTCCAAGTGCAGCTTTGCCTTACTTGTAAAGAATTTTTTTATTTTGAAGCACTTTGAAAGATACTTCAAAATAGTAATAGGAAATTTCACAGACTCTTATCTAATGAAGCCATTTATGCGTTTGAGAGTTCTACAATTGAGCAGCTTTGAGTATCAGGATACACAAGACCCCTGCTATGCGCCTTTTAAATAGGGACTTGCTTAGTTCCTGCAAGAAGCGACCTGCACCTTCCATACCTAGTTTAGTTGTTTACTCACCTCTACTCAGAATAATTTTGCTCACTCGCTCACTCCCGAAGTGTGAAAGCTTATCTACACTCATCTGCATTCTGAACGAGGGAAGCAGGGGAGGGTGCAGCTCCCAAGGATTTTGCTTCCAGCGTGGCTTCTCCCACTCTTGGGGAAAGTCTCCGTCGGGTGACTTTTTCTGCCAGAGTCAAAACGGTCGGGCCGGGCCACCGGCGGGCACGGGGCTTCCACCTCTTCTGAGAGTGGGGTCTTAAAACGGAGTCAGGGTCGGCAGAAGTACTAGCGGGCTCTCGTATGACTCAACATTTTCGTCAAAAAGGTAAATCCAATTGATCCAAGCTAAGCTCTCCTGCATTTGCCCTTTCTCTTCAAGAGCATCTCCATCCACCCTCAGCTTCCGATGACAGACAAATTTTAGTGTATACCCAGTCTGGGACCGGTGAATGCAACTGAAATTAATCACTCTTAAGCTTTCATGTAACCTGCCGCGCCTACCCAGACACAAGCTTTAAATTCCAAAAGGCCGTTGGTAAATTGGTAACAAAATCTCAAGTCCAGGCAGAGGAACAGACCTTTGCAACTTCTCTTGCAAACTGTGACAGCATGCTTTCTATCTTGAATTACAGAAAATTTGAAAATTTACTTTCAAGTGCAGAGACTATTTTATTTTAGATTCATTTTGTGCATCTCGGTTAAATTCCACAGAGGGATACAGATGATTTCAGTCTGTTTAAATCAAGTCAAAGCAAAGTTGGATATAAAATTTGAAAAGTTCTTTTTAAGTTTTAACTACACATTTGAAGTAGGCTTCTGTCTTTTTTTCTTAATTCCAGTTGCTCTGTATTCTTCTCTTTGCTTCAAATATTCTGCTTTGCACTCTTCGTAGAATAATGGATCAGAATAGCTACGAGACAGACAAATACATAATACTGTTTTTCATCTTGGAATATGGAACAGATATTGCATGAGCAACACTCATAACTGATCTTCCTTTCACACCCAGAGAAACTTTGCCTGCCTTTGAGAATAAAAGACTTTTTTTTTTATAAAGCCTGTAAGCGTTACAGTGATGTTGTCAACTCTAAATACTGAGCTGGTCTGCATCCTCTCATCATACTACTCTCTCTTGAGCCATCGTCCTTTTCAAGCCTCTACAGTGAAGCCATGAAGAGGAAAGGTAGAAAAAGGGAAAGACATCTGGTATTTCAGTTCAGCTAAATAATTTGGTTTTATTTGCAGTTAGCTTCCCCAGCACAGGAATCTGCTGGAGTACACTCGTGTTTTTTATGCACCCAACCCACCACCAGGAACAGGTTCAAGTGTGTCTCGAACAGTAAACATGTGGGTCTTTCATCACGAAATTCAATTCATTTCTCTCATCATTTGGATTTTAAGTACACTTAGTCAAGCACTACACATTTTTTCAGTTGTGTTGTTTTGTTTTAATTTGGGTGTTTTGGCTTTTTTTTTTTTTTTTTTTTTTGAAAAAGGCAAAGGCACAGACAAAGACAACTGAGCACCCCCAGCGAGTTCTCACTGCAGTTCGGCCTGAACTCTTGCCTGGCTGCACACGCGTTCTCATCGATTCCCAGATACCTGAGAATAACCCTCACTACATCAAAGGCACTTCACCTTAATCTCGGCTTTAACAGGGCAGGACACACATTCCACCAAAAACCAAACCAACCCTGCTCATCCCCCAGTCAAACTCAAAAAAAATCTTCAACCCCCACCCTGGGAAATGCCCAGAATAACACTTGAGCCTGCTGGCACTGGGGCTAAATCGGGCTTTCTACGAGATGTTTCAATCCACCGTGGCGTCACGCTGGCCTCTCTAATACCGAACAATTTCCCATTGCTGCTGCTGCTGTTCCCAACAGCAGGACGACTTCAGGACCAAGACTACATCTTGAAAAACAGTTCGAGAAGCAAAATCCAGCCGAACCTCTCATGTCTCACTAACAGGGTAGGAAGGTGCTTCTACGGCTCACCCCCATCCCCACATGTGTAATTCAGCATAGTGAATCCAGGGCTGCGTGTCATCGGGGCTGAAACTCTACATCTGTCACCATTTAAATCGAGGATAGACCCTTTATAGCCATAGGGCAGCTTCATTAAGGAGATAAAATCCTGTCAGGTAGAGCCCTGACCAGTATGTTTTTTTAATAAAGCAAAGATACGATTTTCAGCAAATACATCAAAATCACTAACCCGGCGTAACGCTTTTGAGAACACTTAAAAATTTCTACTCATTGCTAGATTAGTATAGGCCATCCATCAAAAAAACAACAAAAACTCATGAGGGACTTACTAGCCGACCAGACAGTCTTTCAGTGCTGAGTTCTCTTGCCGGCACTTCACCACCATAAGTAAACCAGCTTCTTGACAGCATTTAGTGAATGCTGGGGGGAAAAGAAAACAAAACCCAACACAAACTAAATTAGTGTTAGACAAACGACAATTGGTTATATATGCTATTCCATATAAAAAAACCTCACAGACAACATCTGATACATTATTATTATTATAACAATAGTTGGCGTGGAGGCTCATAGTGTTTGTAAGGTGTTTGTCACTTGTTTAGCAACAAGATTTTAATTGGGATTCTCCCCTCATATCATGCACCACATTCACACACATACTGCCATTGCTAATACCAACACATTTCTGAAGTTATTCTTGCAGCAAATCCATGATTCTCATGCCTGCTTTTCATGCAGACTACTCAGGGCTATTGCAGCAAAACAAAAGGAAGCGTGAAAAATGAGGTAAGCCAGGGTTGTTAACGTTTCCTCTGCAATGAAAGCTTTTGAAATTACTGAAGCATGTTTGCATCTCCAAATTAAGAGGGCAGTAATGGTGACAGCAGCTACTGTCTCAAAGAAATGCCCCCGGCCATCACCTCCTGTGAGGGTTCCCTTGGGACAGAAGAATCCATGAGGTCGTGGTTCTTTCCTGGCGTTTCCAAAAATCCCTCCTGGGAGGGCCAGGAAAAGCCAGGGGTTTATCAGCTGGGAGTGCCGGGCTGCACTCCGTGGCACCACAGTGCTCCAGGGAGGACTCCTGTCCTCTCTGTATCTTCTCTGCGCTGTGTAGTGGCCTGTAGCTGCTCTGCAGCTGGGGGTTTCCTCAAAGTCCAGAGGGCTAGAGTAACGAGCACTGCCCGCAAGAATACTGCTGATCATCTACATTTATGGGATGGTGATCTCTGGCATTTAAGAACAAGAGAATATGAAAGGGGAAGAGACAACTATCTGTCTCTTCCCAGTCTGCTCAGTGAAGTGAAAGTACCCGGTCAGTCTTCAGGATCTCGAGACTTAAGTCAGTAAGAAGCTGAAAGAGAACAGCAAAGCCACGGTTAAGGGTGGGGGCTTCACCTGGGAGTAACTACAGTTATACCACCAGCACCCTGTACTGGCGGGGCACTAAATAATAACTCTAGAGAAGAATGAGCTGTTACTCCTATCAGGAGATTCCAAACTGTTTTGTTATGAGGGGTCCGAGTTAGCAATCGTCTGCATTTAGCAGGTGGGAGAGGGGGAAAGCCAACTGTCCAGGATCAACCAGTAGCCAGGTCATGAACAAAGTCCCATCGACCATGTCCCCTTCCGGAGTTCCATCCATTCCTCCTCTTCTGAGCTTCTCCTGGTAGTGATTTAATATCCAGCAAATTTAGGGCATACAGAAATTATTCTGGTTTTGCACATCATTAGCAAAACTTACAGCTAATCCAGTAATATCAAGACTTACCGGTGCCACACCATACAAAGGGGAATTCACATGGTCTGTACTCAGTGTATGTACACTGACTGTGTTTACAGACGTTATGTCTACTGAGTATCACAGGTATACACATATGCTCAATGCATTGCTCTTTTTCTGTTTTGTCCAAACACTTGTACTTCATGTACTCACACTAGGTTCTTCCCACTCTTTGAACACAGTGACCAGATAGGTAATATCTACAAGAAAGAGCAATTTTTGTATCACTTCAATTCTTTAAACTTCCTGGATAGAGGTACCTTCTGAAGTCAGGCCGAGCATCAAAAAGCCACATCAAGCACCTGCAGGTTATTGACCATGTGAAAGTAAGGCACGACTGTTAAACGCACCGACTGTAGCATAGGCCTGGGTCTGTCCTGGTATGTTTTCAGGACATTTAGCTGGAGCTTCAGAGCTGCCTACTAAGTAACTGTTGATCCTGGACAATGATGTAATTGCCATTACATCAAAACTGCAAAAACCAAGAAAACAGAGATTTGTGCCCATCAAAGCAGCAATCCTGTCGTTTTTTTCATAGCGGATGCCCCCTGATATGGGCGTTAAGCAACTGTGGGCTTCAGTGGAACAGAATCCACCTTCTAGAGTCCTGGATGCTACCGGCAAGAATTTAAAGAGAAGGTGATCCAACAGCTGCAAGCAACCCCTGGGCGAGGCTAATGTGCTTGCCCGCTGGCTATACGAATTAGGGTTTTGATAAAATAATTCACAAAACCAGGCCGTGCTTGCTGGAAGTGTTGGTGAGAGTCTCCAGCGCCCTGCCAAACCTACATATACCTTTGCAAAACCGCAAAGAACTGACGTGTCACCTACTTGGAATATATTACTGATGAACAATTAAAATGTGCTTCAACCCAGCCCCTAACGTTACACGCTGGTAACATCACCGTGCGGCGCCTGAAAATGCGCAAAAAATGGGTTTAAATTAACCAGTTAATTACCCGTTTGGAAGACACTGTAACCTGTGCTCAAAGGTATCTATTAACAACCATACTCGGTTTCTAAGATCTCGTTTGGTATGTGTCTTAGTTGTAGACCTAAAATCATCCACGTGCACATGCACAACTTTGAGGATGGTTCTGGATAGCTAAAGTTTACGAAGCAGTGTAAACTCAGAACAATAGGAGAAATTTGTTACTAGGTTATCAAAATGTCTCTCTGGTTTCTAAATGTGATTCTGATGTTTCTTCAGTTCTTGCCTGGACTGTTTACATTGAATGTCCCTACATCAACATCTCAGAAAAATCATACCTATTATCACAGTTCTAAAAATGTCCTTTGTTTTTTTCTGAGAAAAGCACCAGAAGCCTTTGAAAGCTTATGGTTTGTCTAGTCACCAGTTTGATTTCTACTCTCTACAGGCACTTCCTTAAGTGCTGTGCTGGTTTTTTTTTGTAGTACTCATTCCTTCTGGAAGCTGTGAAAGTAAAAAAACCACTGAAGACAACAGGAGGTCCCTCTCACTTGTTAGCTCACCAGTCTTGATTGGTTGAAGGCGTGATGTCCCAGTGAACAAAACCTGAACTGCAATTGCAAGCACTCCCTGGCTTCGGGAGGCTCCGCCTGTGGTACGTGGCCAGGCACTGCTGAAAAGTGATAAAACTGCTTCCAGCTATCTCGCTGTAACGTTGCTGATGCTTAACAACAGAGGGGGGGAAAAAAAGGAGGTTAAAGCATACTGGGCATCCTCATACGAGCACACAAAACTCGACTGTCCCTTTTCTCCTCTTACTTCCAGCACTTTAAAATCCCTTTGGCAGTCACGTAAGGAGTGTGGTGCAAGACAGGTTTAGTTATAAATGCTTACCAGAAACCTTACGGAAGTCTGGAGAACGTTGTTTTATTTTTAATTATGCTCTGTCTTGCTCACAACTCTTTCATGAAGCAAAACATCGCAGTGTTGAGCAACACAAAGAGTGGTAAAACTGCTGATTTGGAGAATAATCTCACAAATAACGCACAATAGTTCCAGATATAATCTCAAATCAAGAATTAATCTCTATCGCCGTAATCTTGACAATCACCACTCATTCCTTGCTCAAGCAGTATCTGCACTGTAGACCAAAGCTTCAGGGTGCGTAGCAAGATACCACAAAAGGAGCAGATACACAGGATCTGATTACAGACCCATTGTAGTTTAACACTTTAGCAGCTACGAGTGGTAATCAGAACGCCGGGGAACCCAGTCTCACACTCCAACGAACCTCCTTCCTGATATACTGCATGTGATACAAAGAACAATTGCTCTTTCAGAGCAGAATTGATCTGTTAGAAATCTTGGGCATCGTCCAATCTTTACGGCTTTAGCAAACAGCTTTCCATGACTTTACAAGCTCGTGGGCTGCTATAATGTTTTCTCTCTTCTTGCAAGCAGCAAGCTACCAAAACAGAACCTCAGGTAGCAGCGAGACGACATGTAAATTTGGGCCAGCCTGTAAATTCATTGCAGACTAACACAACAGAAAGAGATGTTTCAAACACTAAAAGTTATCCCCAAGATCTACAAATACAAGCTAAATAAAACGAGGGATGGAGCTTAACACAACAGCAGTGGAAATGCCTTGTTAGAAAGGGGGGGAAAAAAAGCTTGCCCTCTGCAAAACGAGCCCTGCTGAGGCTCTGCCCGGACAGCTACACGTGTCCGTCACTGAATGCTCTGTGCACAGCTAAGGACGGACCCAGAACTGCGTCAACGAGCTGCGGGCGCCTACCGGTTACCATGGAAACTGGACGTGGCCCCCCTCTGCCCCCCGCAGCAGCTACGGTCCCCGAGGCCGCGCCTGCCATAGGGTACCCCCCGTAGGGTACCCCCTGTAGGGTACCCACCATAAGATACCTGCCATAGGGTACCCCCCGTAGGGTACCCACCATAAGATACCTGCCATAGGGTACCCCCCGTAGGGTACCCACCATAAGATACCTGCCATAGGGTACTCCCCATAGGGTACCCCCCCTAGGGTACCCCCTGTAGGGCACCTGCCATAAGATACCTGCCATAGGGTACCCGCTGTAGGGTACCCACCATAAGATACCTGCCATAGGGTACCCCCCGTAGGGCACCTGCCATAAGATACCTGCCATAGGGTACCCCCCGTAGGGCACCTGCCATAAGATACCTGCCATAGGGTACCCCCCGTAGGGTACCCACCATAAGATACCTGCCATAGGGTACTCCCCATAGGGTACCCCCCGTAGGGTACCCCCCATAACATACCTGCCATAGGGTACCCCCCGTAGGGCACCTGCCATAAGATACCTGCCATAGGGTACCCCCCATAGAGTACCCCCCCGTAGGGTACCCACCATAAGATACCTGCCATAGGGTAACTCCCCATAGGGTACCCCCCGTAGGGTACCCCCCATAAGATACCTGCCATAGGGTACCCCCCATAGGGTACCCCCCGTAGGGTACCCCCCATAAGACACCTGCCATAGGGTATTCCCCGTAGGGTACCCCCCGTAGGGCACCTGCCATAAGATACCTGCCATAGGGTACCCCCCGTAGGGCACCTGCCATAAGATACCTGCCACAGGGTACCCCCCGTAGGGTACCCCCCCGGGCCCTTCTCCGCACCACGGGCTGCGGCTGGGGACGCACACGGAGCAAAGAACTCTTCTCGAG